TTATTATAATCACATCTAGTAGGCTTTATGCACCATGTGCAAGCACACTTTTCCCCATGACTTGTGACATACGCCCTCTATTGGCCGTGATTATTACCAGCCCTCAGTTTTAGAAACAGTAAGGCACAACGGCACAATACGACGGACGACTACAAGACGCGACGGCACGACGTCAGGACGCCGGCGCGCCGCGACAGTGCGACGGCACGACGTGACGATATGATGGAAAGTCGCAACGCCACGACGGCACAACTCAACACATAAAGCACAGCATTAAAGCAATACGAAAAAAGGCGATGCCACGACACGACGGAGCCGTCATAGCGTCGCGCCGGGGCAACGGGACGACGCGACGCTAATTTTATTGTCTATAGAACACCATACAATCACCAACACCCGACGGTCAAAGCCTGGTGCATTTCAGCGCGGTATGCGCCTTTAAGTTTACCATTAACATAACTTTTTACTTCGGTGGCCAAAATGCAGGCGAGTTATCTAAATCCGGGCATGCGTGATAATCCAACACGACTACGGGTGTGGGCATTTCCGGGCGCTTGGATACCAACAAATGCCATTCTCTTCAAAGCCTTTATTCAAGCCGTGGCATCTATATTTAACGGTCGTGGCAGAAAAGTGGCGTGGCGCTCTTCCTTGCAGTTGCCCAGTCGCGAGACAAAAATGTTGATGAAGCAACAAAACCAAATATAGGAAAAAAGTCCCCCCAAACTATACAGTGCCAAACTTTGGCTTTTATTTGTTCGAGTATTCCCATTGTGGTGACCTTGGAAATGTAACGTTGAGGTTTGACCATAGACTAGTACATGTACGACCATGGTTTATCCCCTAAGTAATCCCCCGTTTTGACTTACTTGAGATTGTTTCGATTTGTCTGTAAGAAATGTTCCCGATGTTCTGTTTTCAAACGAATACACAAACAACAACCAACACACAACCCAATACCCAAGCAAGCAAACAAACAAACAAACAAACAAACAAACCCCAAATCCACAAACAAAACAAAAACCCCTCGGCCGGGATAGATAAAAATGGTGCACCGGCGCGGCTCGAACGAAGTCTTGTTATTAAAGGCGAGTTAATGTGTATCTGGCCTCTACTGCTTCTAACGTTTGCGGTAACTTCCGAGTCAACTGCACACAATGCTGTCGTAAAGCGAATATCTTCCTGATAACCAAAAGCGTAGTGCACACAGAACAGTTAAACATTCTGGACTCGTCCTTTACTGCATGTGGTATCACGGAGTGGGACATTTTATAACTTCCTCCATGGCAGTGTGTGTTTTATTCCTCCATGGTTTATAAACTAGTATCAATCCTGTTCACGACACCCGTGTAGTGCGTGTGCTGTATCCTCGTTTCGGCAGCACACAGTCTGATCTGGCCGAGTGCACCCATGCGTGAACCGTCAAAGGGTCCCTCTTCGGCGGACAAAAGAGTTGTGATTTGCTATGCACCGCGGAATCACTTTGCATACTTGTAAGGTTAGCGACTGCTTGCTGACAATAGGAAATTACCTTCCAGAAATAACTCGACAGCATTTTTATTCCAACATGGCAATGGCTGGAGCACGGTCCGTCCTGTTACTAAAGTGCGACTGGGGTATACCCTCGTAAGTTGCCCAGGAGAGAGGTAAGATCTATTCATGAAGCTGTGATCTATTGAAAGGTAACGTCAGCAGTGTGTAGCTCTGTGCCGTTTGGAAAAGGACTAACCATTCGTGTCATTGCATTTGGTGTGTTTAGACACGGTTAAGAGTCCCAAAACTTGAGAACTAACGTTAGCATTTAACGTGAGTAGAAGCATGGAGCTGGTGCAAGAAACAGTCAGTCCGACTCTTCTTCGTGCATGCAGTACTTCATGGATGGACAGTCTGGTATCGATGCTCTGAAATTTCTGTCGATTTCCTTCCAAAGTCGTGGTAGTAATTCAGTCTTGGGAAGAATTCCCCAAATCACTGCGGTAACGTTTCAGGCATCAGAAAGAGACAACAGGGGCGAATCCAGGAATTTTCCTTGGGGTCATGTTTTTATAGTTGTTGGGAACTAGTTGGGAACATGCGGGCACATATAGGCAACGAATTACATGCACATATACATGTAGTTTCAGGGTGCTTTTTGACACCCCCCGCACCTTGATCCACGCTAGGATAATATGTCCTGAAAAGTCAAATTTTGCAGCGAATATATTGAACCATTTACTTAGAAAACATGATTTTTAGACCAGTCTCATATGTTTTTGAATAGGGTTTCAAGTAATGTCCGTATATGGAACTCTTTCCTTAGGATGCTTTGTACGATTCTAATATCCATAAAAATCCCACTGCTTCGCCGTAACTGGGAAGCGATCATCAAGCTGAGTGTTAATACAGCACTGGGAAATCGAATGTATAGTTTGTAAATTGTAATTTTGTTCCATTCAACTAGACTGAATATCAACATTGCCCCTTTTATAAACTTTTGGCTCCCTCGTCAGTAGTGGATGCGGTCCCCGGCACTTGGTAGGCGCATTACACGTGGTCTTTGACCGAGGGCGGTAGATTACCCTCACATACATTAAAGTGTTGACTGAGCTTGAATCAAGCTTTATCTGGAAATAAATCTCCTTCTAAACGTCATGGATGGTGGTCAGTAGAAAAGCAAATCAATACGTATGTTTCACACAGTGTTACCCTAAAATTCTCACTCGGGTGTTAATACACCAAATAATCAAATACTGTTATTTAAACAGAAATAAGACCCTTATAAAAGTGCATGTAATAGTTACTGATGTACATTTTCAGGCAGAAAACCTTTCCCTAGCCAATGGTTGTATTTGAAGCGTGAAGGGATAAACTTGTCTGTGACGGAGAAATTTGACCATTTGGCATACCCTATGTAACAGGTGTTTCCATTAAACAGCCCACCTGTTCTCAAGGTTTTTTTATTCCTTGGACACACGTCTTTCCATTTCCCCAATGAGGACAAGCCACAGTTCCTGCGTTAGTGGCCCCAGGGTCATGACCTCATTGGTTGCTTACTAAATTGACCATCCTTGAAATAATTTCGTACAGGTTGTGCTCCCCTGCATGACATCATCCAAGGAAAAATTACCATCACTTTGGATGTACGCAAATGTAATTCTTATTTCCCAATTTGACTCGATTTTACATGTAGTGGAAACTTTATAGATTTCCCATCTTATTCTCAAGACTGCTTCAATTGAAAATATTTTGGTATATAGCCTATATGTATTGACAACACGGTTTTACATTTATTTGCTCAATTTTCCACATACAGTGCAGAAAAGCCTTTCCTTTTTGTTCAACTGACGCGATTGTGAAATATATGTAGACTGTACATGTATGTGTACCGCTCACGGTGTTCTGAGGTACCACTTTAGTGTACTGTACCTTTTAGTTCACGTAGTAAAGCGCGTCTCCAAATTAGCCAAACTCAGCTGAAATGTTTCTGTCTGTTCCTGTGTATCGGCTGCTTCATCGGCTTTTCAAAATGTTACAATATGCGGCAAGAACCCAATTCAGAGTGGGCCAAGTTGCGAACTAAAAGTTTTTACTAATGAGGTTACATTTTTGTATTTATAGATAAACTGCGTTGTCCAATGTGGAATTGGAAGAACTTCGAATTCAACCTCATCCATTCCAAAAGAAAGTGGTCGTGGCACCTTTGACGATCTTCCACCATGAGCGACGCTGACACATTTGCAAGCGGCAGAAGTTGGAGGAGGATGGTCGCATCGTTTGCACTGGCATTCCTGTTGCTAACATTCACTCTTGGAATATTGGGAGGAACATACCCACATGAGGAGAGTCATGTTGAAATTTGGTCAAAGCCAGACGCCGGGTACCAGTCAGAGGTAGATAAGCCATTCCAATCTACTCACAAAGTTTATCCTGACCAAACCGGTTCCATTTCGGGGGACAAGTCATTTTTTCCAAATAATGTCACGTGCGACAGATGTTGCTATCGCTACACAACCGTCGAAAACGGTATTATGAAAATCCTGAGTCAACCTGAACTCAAAGAAAGAGGCTGCAAGAAGAGACTTCCAGACGCCATGATCTTCGGCGTGAAAAAGGGCGGGACCACCACCTTGAAGAACTTCCTCAGCTACCATCCCGACATCGCCTTCACTCAGGAAGAGTTAAAGTTCTTCACCTCGTCTGAGGACAGGGAGAAGGGATTGGAATTCTACCGACGCGAGATGATCTACTCCACCCCGGATCAGATCTCCATGGAGAAAACGCCGGCTTATTCTCATTACCCGAAGGTCCCCGCAATGATTGCAAAAGTCCTGCCCGATGTCAAACTCATCATCATCATGCGGGACCCCGTGGAGCGAGCGGTATCCGACTACGTGCACATGCAAGTCACGATTGCCAAAAAATGCAAAAAGGGGAAAGCTTCGTCAAAGTGCTCGATCGAGAATTCGGGTTACTTCATAGCCGATACTTTCGAAGAGTCCGTCATCGATTCAGACGGCGAGGTCAACTATTCGAATCAGCTTGTAGCAAAAGGACTTTACGTCATTGACATAAAACGATACCTAAAGTACTTCAAATCCGAACAGATCCTTGCAATAGACGGGGAGGCGTTCATCAATAATCCCTACCCGGCCGTCAAGAAAGTGGAGGAGTTTCTAGGTATCAGGGATTACTTTGCGCGTGACCACTTCTACTTCGACGTGCAGAAGGGGTTCTTCTGTCTGAACAAGCCCATCCCCAACAACTGCATGAAGAAGGCAAAAGGGCGCCCTCATCCGGATGTAAACGACCAGACGCTGAGGAAGCTGCGCGACTACTACCGGCCGTACAACAAGGCACTGAACCAGCTCATGGAAACTGATTTCCACTGGTCTTGATAAATGTTACACGTGGACCATTCTTGACGCCCTGATGTCTTCGCTGTCCTCTCCGAGCGGGAAAACCAGAGGGCATGTCAGTAATGGCGTTCCTTTGATGTAATCACTAGCTGAGTTCGGGTGGCTTGTTCTCGTATGTTCCGAAGAGCTCGATTTGTTGTTCATGGGACGGCCGCTCGAACGCTGGGAAAGTACAACCGGTTATCGCTACTAGTTTGTAGCAAGCAACATTCAACATGGCGGCATCCTTGTGCATTCTTCAAGAGTTAATGTTTGCAACTTCTTTTCCATTAAAAAAAATGCTGTCATCAAAAACGTTGATTTTGCAAAACATTCTATTTTCTCCAGCTTTGTAAGCCACCTCGATAGTTTTGCAGCTTTTCAAAATCAAATCTCATGAGTTTTTCCGTGTGTTTCTGTAAAACCCTGACGCAGAGGTGGTGTGTGAACCTCTTCCGAGATCAGTGTTCTTGTGTTGTGTTCCCGCCGTTTGAGCGCGAGAACACGAATCCTGGGTAGAACAGGCCGCGCGAACTCGACCACTGAGTGTTTGCAGAAGTTAGGGCGCGTTAAGGCACCTTTTCATATGTACGCTTTTTGGTTCGTTGCGCACACGATGCGTTCATGCGTTTTGCTTTCACGTTCGGCCTTCAAAATCGCCCCGGGAACGATTTTGACGGATACACGACGCTCGGTGCAAGTGTTGACGCGCATATGGAAATGTACCTTTAGGTGTTCGATATACGCTGGACAGACGAGACCAATTTCTGGCTGTTTGAATGTGATGGAGAGTCCGGTTGAAAAACTTCCCACTCATCCATGTCCTCTTTGCCGGTGAGAGCGCACTTTTAACTCAGGGTGGATTAATACATGTACATAGTAGTTTACCTACTGCCGTAGACGAAACCAAAGAAACGCCAGTACTGCAGTGACATCTCACTCAGGCACGTGTTCTTAAACTTCAGGTGCGCGTGCAGCAAGCAAAATTACTCAGCAGAGGCATGTGAAACGCATCCAGTTCAACCGCATCGATGTTTTTTTATTCTGGTCACTGAATTTGTCTATCCGTTGCTAGTTTTTACATAAAGAAATGACGGCCGTGGAAGACACCGGGTATGTGCATAGGTTTCTGCGCATTTGGCATGGGACACGTGTAGCACACGCTACCAGTTTCTGTACGGTCTATGCCATTCTCGACTTCAGTAGCCTTTTTGAAACATTGTGGACACAATAGGCAGGCGCTATTTAATACGGGTAAACTAGGAGTGAACACGAAAGATTTTATCTCAACCAAAACGTGCCCTCCTGCACCTCAAATTGGCTAACGGACTGCATGAGCGTTCCTCAATACATGTACACCCAACATGATGGGAGCCAACATGACGAGGTTCGGTCTTGCCCTGTACGTCTGGGTGCATGCGCAAGCCTTGTTGAAAAATTTCCCACGAGCCTGACTCTTTTTTGTCAAGTGAGTGTGCAGATCAACTCTTTAATTTGAATAATTTTTTGTTACGTCACAACAGTGTTGTTTCTGTCAATCAGTGGTTGGCAATCTTTGGCTCGCCACCTTTACGAAATAAAACAGTAATTGGCAAGAAGCTAAAAAAATATACCTCGGGCAGCTAGCTGTTGAAGCATTAAAATTAAGCACTACTATTTATACCAAATTAAAATATCTTCAAATTTTAAAATGGGGCAAATAAGTTACATTCAATTTGGGTAAAGTTATTGCCAAAAGATTGACTCGTTGGAATCTAGCCGTTTTTCCAACACTCGGCTTTGTCTCCTCCTCTGGCTTGGTCTCTGAGATTGAACCCCGAATGTTGGCTTACAGTGTTGGAATTAATATGCTTCAGTGTTTGGCGCCGGTGCGAGTAGATCCATCTTCATGTTGCGATGGCACTCCTTGGCTTCAGCTAACTACGGCAGCTCGACAACGCCGAGTGTTGGAAAAAAGTAATAAGTATCTCTTGTAATAATGGACATACATTGCACTGAGATTTGTAGGCCTACTTATCAAAGATCATGACACGGATTTAACAGAACATACTTTTTAAATGAAATTTCTTAATCCTCTTGAATTGAAGAACCTATGCAATGTAATTTTAATGCATTTTTTCTCCTTTGTCCTTTTAAACGTTATTTTTAAATTCTGTCGTTCCATTTTCACGGCTTTTTCAAGTAAGATACCGCCTTGTCTTTATACTAAATTATGTTATTTACATATTTATGACCAAAAGTGTGATACGTGTCGGTATTACAGCTACTTCGCATTCTGACGTGTCGGAATTTGCATATTTGTGTGATGTTAATGTTGTTACTTTGCGTCTTTGCTGTTGGAGTTAAGTAAGTCACTTAGTTAATAAGTTAATGAATAAAATGTAATATTCAAAGAGCAAATTATCTAAGTAAAGAAAACCAGAAAAGATCAGTTTCCTCCTGCAATGACATCACCGCAACAGCGCCCTCAAGTTGTTATTTTTTAATGAGAGAACGCATGCTGAATAATTGCATTTTGGAGAACAATGAATTAGCGGCAACTGGTTCCAAAATTCATATCAGACGAATTGTAAATTCTTTATTTCTAGCTCAAGGTGTACTGTCATAACATAAAGGCACTATCTATTCTGGTTGTTTGTTCAACTTGGGAAAATTTGCGGATACCGCTTAATGTGTCTCCACGATTTGAGGGAACTAATGATTTTATTTGGGTTTGGTTGCGACATGGGAGATTTGCACCTTGCGTTCAACTCCCTCTATTCGGGTACAAACCTGAACTAGATTGGAGAGTTTGTTTTAATAGCAGAACGATATGATCCAGCAATATCAATTTCTGGTTGATGATTTTAATAAACGTTCATGCATGGCATCATTAAAGTGCAGCCGCAATGATTTTTCTTCGACACAATTTTTCTGCATCTTTGTACTTTTCTTCAATTCATGCACGAAAACTCTTCCACACTCCTATTAATACATTAATGTTAAATGCATTAAAAAGTGCATATTTTTTCAACAATAAAAATTGTCCATGTTTTCCTGGACAACTGAAGATTCTAATGCAGTGAAGTCATCTAGGGAAGACATGGCTCAGTGCATAGGTGTTTCTGCTTAACTTGTGAATCCAGAATTTACTCACTAAAAACAGTTCTTAGAGAGCAATTGATAGTTTCTTTTTGCTTTCCACTTAAACAACGATGAATTGGCAAAGAAGAGAAAACTTAGTCCAGGAAAGTCTACAAAAAACGCAGGACTTTTTTTGTGAAAAGACCATTGTAACATTGAGGCTTCTTCCTGAGATGACATCACAGTATTGCTCATGAATACGGAAATCCTCATTAGCATAAAAACCGAAAAGGCATTTAAATACCCTTTGAAATAGTGAAACCAAAGTTTAAAAATTAGGTTTACCGAGGCACAGAGGTGCATTTTACAGGTTTGTAATCAAAAAATTGATTGCAGCTAGCACTGAACCTGATCTCAAAACAATAACGGTCCTTGACGTTCTACAAGAGGGCGCCCTTTCATGTTATGACATTAGCAATGCCTCAGTGCTCAGCATAGTGCCCCTAATTAACCGTATTGTAAATTTGTTGAGTGTAAAAACCTTTCGTTTCTCAGTTATAGTCCCACATCACTTGTCCTTCCGTAACCCTAGAAGTCGAAGGCACGTGACTTGCTGTTGCAATCAGCAAATGGCACGCTATAATGGAGCCGGGAGCTAACAATGCTAAAAAAAAAAAGAAAAAGAAAAAAACAAACAAACAACCAAACCAAGGATCTTTGAAAGAAAGTAGCAGGGAACTGAATTGATAGGGACTCAGACACAAACCTTTAGGTTTCCAAACCAAAAACAGGCAAAAAGAATTTATTCACGGAATAAAGGTGGGGATTTACGTTTCATTTGAAAAACGTGTAGAAAATTTTCCCGTACCGTTTAAACGTTTAGCCAACACTTCACAGAAGCCCCCGCAGCCTACCTCGGTGTTTTCATATACGCATAATTATGTAGTTCAATAATGCACATGGTTCAACCAATGTAAAAATGTAAGCTGATGTTGGGGCATTTAAAACAAGCAATGTTTATTGTTTTAGAATCCACTCTTTTCTCAAAAAGTGCATGGATGTCGAAAGGGAAAAGTGTTCCGAACATTGAGTACATTTCACAGGCATCGTTTGCAATAAAAAAAAAGTAACACCAGACTGCATCAATCAAAACATCAAATCTCTAAAAGGGACAGTTCTGTTTAAACGTTTCAGAACATCTGTAAACGGATTTGGAAATAGTCTCGTTTAAACGTGTAAATGTCCCACTTACCCTCATCAAGGAAACAACCAGGTGAAAATTAACCACTTCAACTGAACCTGAAAAAAAAACAAAAAAAAAACCGAAAACCCAATAAAATTGATCGAAACGTTAGACTTAAAATTGCAGAACCTTGAACACCTAAGACCGTGCAGTAAAAAACAAAAAGTGAAACGTTGTACCAGTAGAGTATAAATGACCTGATGAGATTACAAAGACTTTAATCATTATAGCATGATGGGACTCCAGTTTATAGGAGGAACAATACATGACATTGAAGTTGACTTGTCTCTGCTGTATGCTGAGTGTGATAAGTCCAAGCGGCTAAATATGGGGGGAGCTAAGGCTTCAACAAACAGGGGACACACTACTATAGGAAAAGGAAGGGCGAAGGGAAACTCTAAACTGAACTGAACTGAACTGAACTGAACTGAACTGAACTGAACTGAACTGAACTAAACTAAACTAAACTAAACTAAACTAAACTAAACTAAACTAAACTAAACTAAACTAAACTAAACTAAACTAAACTAAACTGAATATTATTAGAGAGTGCAGACTCATTTTTGCCTCTGCCACACTATCTCTTTCAGTGCCAAAGTTCAAGTTATGATTTGTCCTGAAATTATTTGTAATTTGACACATGATGACGTCATCATAACGTAACACTAACACTATAACAGCTAGGGCTCAGAGTTGATGTTTGTGGCAAACCTGCCGGTTAGAAGAAAAGTCGTGGAGAAAAAGTTGATTCCAACACAGTGCACCACCGAAACGTTCCCGAGGGGATGCCATTTTTCAAGTTACCACAATTTGCATTTGAGCGTATATCAGTAGATATACAACTGTCAAAATTGTCACCATTGAAAGATAAATACACGACACGCTTCCGTGTCTCAGATGCAAAATCTTTGTGGCTTGTTGTCGGGCAATGCTTTGAGAAGCCCTGTTTTATTTTAAGGTCCACCCTCAGGCCTATATATGTTTGATGCCACAGGAGTTAAAATAGTTAGGGCTAAGGATTCGGTAAAGAATTTTTTTTAAAGAATACAGTCAAATGAAACTTAATGGTGAAATAGAAATACCTCAGTATTTCCTTCTGCAGTTTTCATGTTTGGAGGTAAAAGTCTTAAAATATTTTCAGTTCTACAATCGGCTGTTCAGTGTGCCAGTTTCCCTGGGTTGAAGGATGGGATTTCCGCAGATTTTGGCCTGACGGCACCAGACATTCACTTTAACCTTGTACAACAGCTGGTTGCATAGCGCCACCGCTCGTTAATTAGGTTGTATCAGACTACTTTACATTGGTATGCTGTCTGGGACGGCTGCGTACGTGTCACGGGCATCCAGTCCTCAGCTAGCCGTACGTTCTTCAAATCAGGTAAAAAAAAGATACCTCTATTTGTTTTCAGAAATAAAGTATTCCTTATTTAGTACCTTCATCTGATTATAATACTTGGTTAACAGTTCATATTTAACATGTTTTGATCCTTAACCTTATCAGGGTGAGTATTTTAAATACTTCCGTGTAAAGAGGTCGATTCCAGGGAAAGAGGTTAGCTAGTTCAAGGCTATAGGAAGGAGCACAGACGTGAAGATGACGGTCGACTCCCGTAGAACATGTTGCATCTATTTAGGTAAAAATGGGAGGTAGTTTCATTATGGATTCCAAAATCGATTTCATATTGGGAACTGAGGTCCTCTCCGTGTAGTATCTAGTATGTAAGTGCGACAGCTTCTTTTCAAAGTTCTAGATTTGCTATAGATAGTTCAAACGAAATACATGTAGTTTCAATATCTCCAACAGCCGAAGCCCAAATGGACTTTAGAGTGCCACGGAGATCTACAGTGTTAGTTAAATAGAAAATAAGTTGCGATGATTATATATAGCGACTATAAAGTCAGATTTTGGACTTCGTTTTATCAACGGAAGGTCAAAATAGGCTGGCCTTTGCTAGTGTTTTTTTGACACGGAGAGTGCAATATTTTCTGCCCTATTTTCAAACCAGCGACTTGAAAAAACTCATGAAAGAGCAAGCCGGTCTGGCAAGCTGTCGTATGACGTTATCACACAAAATGGCAACGAGAATTAAGGCCAAAGTTAGGAACAAAATAATCTAAAAAAATAACTTTATAGACGTGTACCATAAACAATAAACATAAATTACGAAAAAAGAAATTAAGATGAAAACTCATTACACGCTAACCATGCCTGGAGCCAATAAGCAGCACAATGTATGCCGTGGAGGTGAAAAACTTTGAAAATTATACCGTCGAAAATAATTACACACTGAAGAGCACACTCGTTTTCCTGAAATTACTAACTAATTTTTCTAATGTCTGTGAAAACCGAAAATGGTGCTTTTATTCCAGGTTACTATTCCTCGTCCCCCTGTCAAGGGAGTGATATGCTCTGGGGTTTTTATCATTAAAATATCAAATGAAAAATTTAGAGGAATGAAGGAAACATTTGTGCATTTGCACAATAACCGTGTTTCCTCGAGTCGAACAAAAAACTGTACAAGTGGGGTTGACATGTAGGTTTTCCTAAACCCAATTTACAAGTCATTTTTGAAATATTTGTCTTGTAGATCTTGTGTAAGGTTCACAACATACACTTCCCCGTGATCGATAGCCATTCGGTTTTTAATTGCGACTCGATCTGTGCTGTTTCTTTTATGCATTTATACGCAGATATCGACTTAAACCATGATGGACCTCTTCAAAGTAATCCAAAAGAAATCTTCAAATTGTTATCCTTCAGTGATGTGAATCTTTTTCTTTGTACTCCTGTTTAACCGGTCTGTGTTATACTGGTTAATCCAAAGACAACTTTAAATTCAAAATATGGAAATATTGTGGGTGGACGTCTTATGTCAGGTAAACAGTTTTGTAGTTGAGACCACTTATAGACCTTCACAAGACCACAGATGACCAGCACAAGACCAACACAAGACCTCCAGTCTGAATTGAATTCACAACCACTCAAAATGGGCTGCAACAGAAGCATTCATTGTCTTGTGCATGGTCTTGTACATAGTCTCGTGTCTGGTCTCGTGATGGTCTTGTGCATGGTCTTGTGTCTGGCCTTGTAATAGTCCCTACTACAACACTGGATGTAAACCTGAGCATGTTGGACCATGGACCTTCGAACAAGAGAATTTCACATAATGTAAAGTCAGACGACGTTGTGTGGACCACTCGCACACTGTGTTTTCCCCTCTTTGGGGTCAGGGTCATTGTGGCAAAATGAAGAGGAACTGGTAAGGGAATCAGTCTCAAAATCGAAGGAGTTAGTGGGAGGATAGGGAACAGTTTTTTAAACATCAGGAGAACAAGGAATTTCTACACCAGCCATGCTTAACAAGCATGTGTGATCCATGTATGTACACGTAATGTAATCTTGTGGTGAACTCAAACGGAAAATGCTGTTCAAAGCTTCGGTTTGGTTAAACTGTTTGGCTGAATCAGGTCGTAAAAAAATCTGCCCGTTTGTCACGCATTAAAATCTACTGGTACATAGGCTGACCCGCAGTCTCGCCAAACCCCGGAAACTGTGTACTATTGATTGCAAGTCCACATGTGTGACTCGGGGGTATAAAAAGTGCATGCGGTGAAATTTAGGAAATAATATTTAAGCTTCGCTTGTAAATTGAATTTAACGTACTGCTCCGAATATCCATTAAAATATCCTGCCCGTATCACACTTTGAACCCAGGATTTATGACACGGATTACCTACATGTACCACATGCTTAAGACCCATGATCGATGAACTTAACTTGTTCCGAGAACTGATGGCGACACCATGTGTGCGTGTGATCCCCCGGTGGGGTCAAAGAATGGCCACGGAGCACCTCCATGCATATGGTCATGGAGGGATCTGTCTGGTCCGACTCCGCTATCCGAAGACAGGTCTTGTAGGTATTAGGTGTAAGGAAATAACTTGGCCTCAGACATTACGATTTGTATAAGCTATACTGCTTTTATACATGTAAACCTCTCCATAAGGGCCTGTGACACGAGATTGACTAGCTTGCGCAATAGTCTTTTCTCGTAAATGTAAAGAACAATGTCCCATCCCTTGTTACAGATTAAAGCTTATTGGAAAGTGCCTTTTTTGAAAAATTTGAAATTTTTCATGCTCTTCCTGTGGGCATTGATGCTGAATATCACTGACAAAGACACTTCATTTCCGGGGCTTTCAGATTAAATTGTGAATCCAAATTTCGCTCAGTGAAAATATTTGTCATGAAAATTGCAGGTTGGCCATCTGCCATATTCAGTATATATACTGTAATAAGAGATTCGCTGAAGTAAAGAAAATTTCAGGAAGCCAAACAACCAACATTTCGGTAAAATCAGATACAAAAATACGAGTCACGTTAGTGGTCCGCCTTCTGATTTGACATCACGGATCTGGTTATGACTGATAAATATCCATTTCAAATGTGGATAAGGCCCCGAAAGGTTCCAAAATGTTCTTATAAAATGACAAACCTAAGAATTCATGAAAAATAAGATTTAATCGAAGTAAAAAAAATAATCTTCAAGGAATGCATTGAAAGGAACGTTTGTGCCCTTTAATGTGTTTTGGAGGCGACAACTTGAAAAAGTGGGCCAAAGGTCAAAGGGGAAGAAGCTTAGCTTGAGGTGGGATAGGATTTGTCTGCGCATGGAGACTGAAGTGCAGAAGTGTTGTGTGACAAATGCTGAGTGTAATATGTTTGAGGGCCGGTGATATTGGAATTCTGTAATGTTTTTACAGTATCACCATTTGCTTCTTTATCTCATCGAGCCTTTTTGGAGTTTGTATGGAGGTAAATATCTTGCGCATGTGTCTTGAACATTTTGACGAAAATTTCTTCCCGTGAAATAGGCTACCAAGTTTTTTATTTGCTGTGCACAGAAGAAAGGAATTTTTTCAACGTTGGTGATTTCAAAATAATTCGCCAACAACAGCAGCAGCAATAACAGTAACAGAAAACAACAATAACAACGAAACCTGACAAACAATAAAAACAGCGGCAAAGACAGGATATACGAAAGAAGTGAACGCCACCGTGACGGCCGTCACCGATGGTGAATTTTTTTTTTACTACACCACTTCGAACTTCACCCTTCCGGGAAAACTGTTCAGAAAATACCTCCGAGTTTTCTTTAAGTGCTTAACCGAGTTGCAGACCAATGTTTAAACCATGATGCTGAATATCAGTTTTGGTTCAAAAGGGGAAGGGGTGAGACTGCAAGTTATGAGGAATTCAACGCATGGCCCTTTAATCCTTTGCAGTTCTGCTTGCCCCCAACAAGCCCATAGGTTTTCATGCCCATGCACACTCGACTGTGTTAAAGGGTCCATGGGATGATTTTTTTTCTTAGATACTGGTTTTGTGTCATTTTCCTTTCCTCTTAATCTAATGTCAACCCGATGCGATCTTCCTTTTGGTTGATTTTATTGAAAAACACATTTTCAAAGATAGGCCGACCGGTACGGATTTTACCTAGCCCATGTTGGACGTCGTCTACATTGCAGGGTATAAAGTCCTCCTACAGTGCGAATTTTTTTAACCTTTTTTTCTCACATTTTTACCTGGCGAAGACAGCTCAAAATGTCGTTCACAAGCGCCTTGTATCCCGAATTCCATAAATACTGTGTCGAAATTACTAAATACGCCCGCGGACAACGTATTTTGCAGGAAATTTTGCAAAACTCCACGCTTTCCGTCGCGATTCGTAAACGATCTACATGTACGTTCGTGTCGTCTATCACGCGTACTCGCACATGCACGAAATGCATAGTATTCGACTGCCCCTTACGCATGCGCTGAATTGAAGAGCCGTGGGCGTGAAGAAGTCGCAGCCTAAGGCCGTGTCCGAACGGGCTTCCAAAGATCCGGATGGGTCTGTTGTCTATGCATCTCCCCGCATTTCCAATGTAGCGAAGACCTAGACCTAGTTCAAGACAACATAACTGACAGAATGTGGGGCGAGCTTGGAAACCATTTTGCGCATGCGCAAATGCGTACTACCAGACGAACGTAGGTCGTTCACGAATCTCGACGGAATACGTGGAGTTTGGCAGAATTTTCTGCAAAATACGTTGTCTGCGGACGTATTTAGTAATTTCAAGACAGCATTTATGGAATTCGGGATTCAAGTTGCGCATTGGGTGGGTGCCCTCCTGGACACATGTCCCTTTTTTTTTAGTAATTGCAAACGGCACAGCAACCTATCCCTGGGGAGAATTCTATTAGTGAAAGTTGGGACAGCCCTTATTTGAAGAAAAAAATCCTGTTTGGTCCCCCCCCCCACTCAAGACCAGTCTAATGATACGCCACTAAGCGGTAACCACGCAGTCCGTGCCAGAACGAGAGAGGGCGCTTTCCTACCTAGCAACTACTGTTATGGGGCATAGCTTAGAGATCGTAATAGTAAAGTTATGATCCCTATGCTATGTGATGTATAAATGAACCATGGATACTGGCGTGATCGCACTGAATTGTGTATGCAGCTCGGCTTCATAAGCTTGAGGCCAGTCACAAGTAACATGGTAAACAATGACAAAATAAAACTTTTGTCTCAGCTCATTTAAATAACTTGTTAATTGGCTTAAGACTGGATGACTTGTGGTGAACTTGCAGGGATTTGTGACGGACTCAAATACAACACTGATGTAAACTCGTGGCTTCCAATCTAGCTTTGTATCCGTCGAAGGTTCATCTCTAAACCAACTTCTGATTATAGGTCCAGCGTTCAAATTAAATAGAAATCCTCGCAGTATATCCGGCACTCTCTGAATTATTATTAGGCTAACAACTTCAAAGTCAGGGGCTTAAAAACTGAGCGAAGACTGAGACGGAGACTAAGCCGAGTCTACTGGGAAAGAAACATAGGCTGCATCTGAATCTGTTGTCCAGAGCTAGGTCTAGGTTTTCAGTCCGTTGGAAATACGCAGAGACGCGCGTGCAATGGACCTGGCCGAATAGCTCTGGAAACCTGTTTCGGACACAGTCATAGACACCGCCGGGATGTAGTCAATAGAGATCAACTTTGAGCTAAAAGGGGGCGCTATAAACCCAGCCCAACTTAAAGCAGTGACACATCTCTGTTTCTTTCCCCCTTTTTACCCAGCTGAAAGACTGACAATCAGTCTGCTCCTGTCTGAAGGGAATAAACCTCGAATAAGTGTAGGCAGTGGACGCACAATATTGTACACCTAGTGAAAAATCGCACCATGAAATACGCTGAAACGTCATTCAGAGGAAGATGGAAAAAGAGAGCGGTTTGGTTCGCTGTGGTCTGTCTATTACTTACGTTTTGGATATTAGGGAGGAGGTACCCAACAGGGAACAGCATTGCTAACACTCTGTCATGGCCAAGCGATGGTTACCAATTGGCAGTTCATAAACTCACTTATTCGTCCAAAAAGAATCATCCTGATCGACACAAACCTATGAAGAAAGAGAGCTGGATGGAGGAGGATTCGGTCCCTCGGGAAAATGCCACGTGCGACAAATGTTGCTATCGCTACACCACCATCGACAAGGGACTCGTGAAAATTCGGAGCAAATCGGATCTCCGCAAAAGGGGCTGCTCCAAGAGGTTCCCGGACGCCATCATATTCGGCGTGAAGAAGGGTGGAACCACCACCTTGAAGAACTTCCTGAGCTACCATCCTGACATCGCTTTCACCCAAAGGGAGGTGCAGTTCTTCACCTCGACTGAGGAGAGGTCGAAGGGATTGGAATACTATCGGAGCAGAATGATTCAATCAATCCCAGATCAGATTACCATGGAGAAGTCACCCGCCTATTTCCAGTACCGGGGTATCCCTGCCCTGATCCGGAAGGCTCTGCCGCGCGTCAAACTCATCACCATCATGCGCGATCCCGTTCAACGGGCCATTTCAGACTACGTGCACATGCGCGTCACGATGGCTAAAAAGTGCAACCTCACGTCCTCCATTGCGCCGGACGCCAAGTGTCAAGTCGACTCCGCAAATTACTTCATCGGCAACACATTCGAAGAGTCCGTCATAAACTCCAGCGGGGAGGTTAGCCGTACCAATCTTCTAGTCGCGAAAGGGGTCTACGTCACTGTCTTACGGGGTTACCTAATGTACTTCCACCCAAAGCAGATTCTTGCAATAGACGGTGAAGCGTTTATCAACGACCCCTATCCAGCGGTCAAACGCGTAGAACAGTTTTTAGGTATTAGGGATTACTTCACGCCCGACCACTTCTACTTCGAAGCCCAGAAAGGGTTCTTCTGTCTCAATAAGCCCATCCCCAGGAACTGTATGAGAGAGGCAAAAGGGCGCCCCCATCCGGATGTCGACGACGCGACTCTGCTGAAGCTGCGGGATTTTTACCGGCCGTACAACAAGGCATTAAACCAACTCATGAAAGTTGATTTCCGTTGGTCCTCTTAGGCGTAGTACGAACGACAAGAAGAATGACTGTTTTTTTTTATCGTTCGCCGAAGTACTCACTGTGTGGCATGAGTTGGAGCGATTGCAACACACTGACTGGCGCTTCGTCTTGATGCAAGCGAACTGTATACGTTTCCGCCATCTTGGTTCCCTCAAAGTCTGTGCTGATACACCGTATGTGTACGTTAAGCTTCATTCATGACAAACATTAATCACGTGTTGTCTTGTCAGTGAACAAACAAAGACCTAACCCATGAACCTGTTTCCTTCATTGCGCTTGCATACGTGTTGAGGGGAGAAAGATGCTTGGCGTTTTTTCGTGTATTATAAAGGTCGGTTCAAAGCGGAAACGAACGCGAATTTGTGACGCTCGTTTTACTGCAGGGGAAAACGCAACGGTATGCAGGGCAGATCAAATGTTCGCGTTACGAATTGGCGAACACATTCCACCTCGAGAGAAAATTTCGCTACAAATTCGCTTCGCTTTTGCATTCGCCTGAAGTATGAACCGGCCTTTAGGCCTGGACTATTTGCGGTGCAACTGCCGTGCCGAACTTAAATAAATTGATTTCCGCTCTGCTGTAGCACGGTGTTTAACGCCTATTCGAATCGGCAAATTGCATTCGGCGGGACAAGCTCTGCAGGACATGCTGCGTAATAGGTGTTCTGAATGATAGTGGCGTGACCATGGTCAGCGCAATTGCCACTCTATTGCCGTGCTATTACCACGTTCGTGTTAATTTCGGCACAGCAATAGCACGCGTCACGACGTATACAGCCGCGGCCATGGTGCTTATGTGTATTCTTGTGTGCATGCAAAATAATGATGTATCTTGGCCGCCAGCCAACTGGAGCCTTTGATCAAAAAGGACAAGTTTGTGATTTGCCGATATTGCTTCAACTGACGCTTTCTTTGCGTAAGGTAGATGCTTGCCGATGGACCGCAATCACGTGATGCAACTTCAAGCTTATCCTAGACATTCGCTGAGCGAATATATATCTTTTCCATAAGCTATACGGTTTGTGCACATTCAATTGAAAATTGAGTAGCGCGTATTCAATCCCCATTGAAGACGAATCCGGGCTGTGTGATCACCAAGTGGGCACCAGAAAGGTTCTTCGTAAATGGCGGGAGCTTCAAGCCACTTTTTGCTGGAATAATGGGCCCTTGATGGTTGCTTCTTTTCTGAGTGCACTGCGTTCGCGCGCCTGGATTCGTCTATAAACGCATGTAATCGCAGTTCTAAACAGCATACATGCGCGTGCACGCGTCTTTCCTTACTCATGGCCTGGTACCCCGACGTGACAATTCATAGGCAGCGTCCAAATCACTTGGTTCTGGCTTAAAATAATACACGACTCTATGGGAACCGTCCGCGGCCACTACCATAGAGTACCGAAATGTGACGTCACTGTGAACCAGAAAGTGCAGTGCAAACGAAAGGAGTATACGCGCGCATGTTGGTTCACGCGCTGGTTCTCGCGCTAATGCCTTTTACACACTAATTGTGTGCGTGACGTATTCACAACGGTAATCTATAGACTTGCGTGTAATTTTAGGCCGCAACCAAATAATTTCGACACGGCCTTCAGGGTCTTTGTAGCCGAGAAGCTACCGGTGTTGCGTGGCCAAAACATGGAGAATTCAAACCACTTCTGAAAATGAGGGAATTCATCCAAACGTGATTTCGTTACCTTTCAGCAGCTAATGCTCCCAGCAGTTGGAAGTTTGTAAATGGAACGTGGTTGCACTGAACATATTTTGCCACGCAACTTGGTGCCAACCTTGGCCAAGCCATGAGGTTAAATATAATGCTTGTTTTTTAATTGTTTGTTTGTTTGTTTTTAATCTGAACGAATATGACAGGGGCAAAGTCTGTGTTCACGGGCAAAGTGTACTTTGTTGTTGCTTTCAACTCCCAGATTGCATGTGAAATGAGGACTTCTGATGTGCAAGTAGTTGGTTATGTACAAAAGGGCGGGTTTGGAACCAAATCTGGCGATTGATATTTTTATTTAATTAAACGAAAAATTCGCAAAGTTCCTTAAAAATACGTTCTTAGTCTTTTAGAGGAGAGACGCTACATTGTGGGTCTTTGTACACGCTTTGGGAAGGGAGAATATAATAGTCCAAAGAAAACTGCTTTCTTATTCTTTTTTCCAAAAAGCCACGCAAAGAATTTGATCCACCGATTGTTTTCCAGACCTTTGCGGTTACCTGTTGTAGTGGTCGTGTAGAATAAGACCGCCTAGCTGACGCATTCTTTGGCTGGTCACAGAGTGACACGTACTGTCTGTGACGTAAGTCCATGAGGTCACACTGTCATATCCGGAGGGGCAAAAGGGACCCCCCTGGACAGAGTTTTTTTTTTGGAAAAAACAATGAAAAGAGGGCAATTTAGTTGTTGTTGGATATTTTCACTTACCATCCTCCAAAAAGCGTGTAAAAGGGGGGTATATTTAGCCCCAGGCAATTAGAGGTTTCAAGAATTTTTAAAAAATCGCTCCCAACAAAATATCGCCCCTACTCTCAAAAATTTGTTTTTAGACACGCTCTTATTAGGGAAGCATCCACTTTCTCTGAAGCCACATCCAAGGACTGTTCGCTGTGTCGGATTTCGACATTATTTTTGTGTTTTTTTTATTTTTGTTTTGTGTAAATAGGAATTGATACACATACTGAAATAAATTATGAAAGATGATTTTCATCAAAGAATACGGGCGTTTCACAATAGTGCGCCTCCAGGAGTTTGCAACGTGTTGACCAATCACAGTGCACGGATTCTGTCGACCCTTTCCAAACGCACATATACATTACGTCGACAGATTTCGCGCACTGAGATGGGCCAACGCGTTGCGAACTCTTAGAGGCGCACTATTGTGAACCCCCGTATTATTGCTTCGTAGAACGATTCCATGAAGAAATGTCAAAAAATGAATTGAAAGAATGTTTGTTTCAATAAAAGCTGTAACTCCAACTTTGTGACGAGCTTAACGTTGTCTCTCACAGTTGTTCTTTTACTTTGGATACGGTTTTGGTGAAATGGGGTTCTTTGCATTTTCTTCTCGGCTTTTAATATAGCCCTTTCCCGTGTCTCTAACATGATCTGTAATAGCTGGTAACATGCACTTACAATTTTACCTTGAGCAGGAACTGCACCGAACTCACGCAGATACCAGAAGCGGAAGAGCTTCATGCACAAAGTCAGGCCAAGTCAAACTTTACCCATTTTTTGGGGGGGGTGGCAAGCGTTCAAATTAAGTTTTAATTAGCGAAGAGATTATTTGTCAGACTTATTTCTCCAATTATCTTTCTTTATTATTTTATTGAAAGTGGCATCAGCAAAAATTACTGAATTATAACTTTAAACAGTGCAACGTGTGACGGCTGCCATGACCTCAGTGGCATAATTAGGGGGGGGGCACGTGCCCTCGACCCAGCGGGAAGGTTGTGCCCCCACTCGTTGAACGTGTGAAAAGTGTACAATTCCTACAGTGTGCACCAGTATTCACTGTTCTTTGCTTTTAGTTGCCCTGGAAAAATATGTGCATCCCGGACGCCCTTCCCCAGAAATTTCCCTTCAGTTACGCCATTGCAAGACCTAGTTTTAGACCTAGTCCCTTGACTGCTTCAATTTTTCAAGAGCTATCATGGCGACCAGGTCAGGGAACTAGACCAGATAGGCCTTCTTGAGAAGGTTGCATTTTGTACCACTTCAATCATCTTTAATGCAGAGCATTTTTATGAGTTTTTGTGTCGTTTTTGGTTTGTGTTTTTGTGTGCTTTGCCATAAAAGATGCAGTAACGGAGATGAAAGAAAACAAGACTGACTGATTTTTGAAGTGCAGACCTGGCGCTCCATACTTTGACGCCATAAAGTAATACATCAGTTGGGTTCCGAAATGAATATTTTAGTTTTGTTTTATTTCAAGTCGAAAAGAGTTTATTTGTTTCGGTAACTGCATTCTTAAAAACTTGAAAAAAAACTTCGTTGCGTTTTTCCAGTTTACGTTTTTCGGGGGGGTATTTAGGCCTTTCCCTTTTCTTCTGTTGTTGTGTGTTTGGGGCGCAAGAGAGCACTTTGCATTTTATTATTATTTTGTAATTCTCTTTAATTATTATGTCAAATTTTCTCAAATGTGAACAATACCTGAAGCTCGATGATATGCACAAGTAAATTCTACCGTACGGATCTCTTCGTCACAGGCATCAAAGTAAAGAAACGCCTTCCAAATAATATCAGGCCAACTTTACTTATCCTTTGAAATTTTCTCCAAAACATTTGCAAAACGATGAGTAAAACCATTTCAAATGGAAGTGCAAGACTGGTGTTTTTGTGGAGAATGTACAGCAATGATTTGTAATGAGGAGGTAATAATGTTAACATATGCTTTAAAAAGGAACCAGGAAATGAATTTTTCTTAGAATCAGTTTTCATGTATCTCTATATTCTTCTTCCATGTATGAAGACTGTTTGACATTTTTTTTAAGTTTCGTGAACTGAACGTTGCACTTTTTCAAATATCAAAAATTGACCAAGCATTTCTGGACAAGTGAGGACGCTTTTGCTCTGATGTAAATCCAGGAAGACATGGTTCAGGATGCATGTTTTCATGTTCAAATTGTGAATCCCAAATTTTCCATCTGGAAACATTTCTGTGAAAAGGATTTTTGCTGGATTATGGCCATATACTTACACTGCAATAAATTGCCAAAGAAAATAAAATCTGCCATAGCAGTGGTAAAAAAATCTAGACATTTTCTGTGCACAAATCAGTGCAACACTGAGATTCAGTGCCTTGGATAGCATCATATTTCTGCTCATGAATATTCAAATAGCATTAGCATAAAAACAAAAAAAGCATCAAAGTTTGGGTTAAAATGGCAAAACAAAAATTTAAAATAAGGTTAATTGAAACCCAAAGGTGCAATATAAAAGGTTTTTAGTAAAATTTATAAAAATATTTCTATTTCCTGGTTCCTTTTAAGCTGTACTAATTTAATATGGGACCGCTCATTTTACTTGCAGACTAGTCTCTAACGAGTGTCCTTTGTTCTATTCAGTTTTACATGTACATGTTTCAGGATTCGCAATTACCGAGACACATTTGTGTCACTCAAATCCCCTGCACTTCCAGCCTTCAAGCTTTCTTGCTTGATTTATACCTACACTGATTTTATTCTTGTCAAAGTACCTTCACGGTTCATACTAGACCAGGACCCCGCACCCTGATATGCACACCTATGTTAAAGAGTTGATGTTATATTTGTTATCCCATGAATAGAAGCATACATTCGTGCATATTAAGCAAAATTTAAGCATCATTTTGTGGCTGATTATAGCTGTATCAAGTTGTGCCTTTGCCCGAGTCCTTTTTGAAGAGTTTCTTGGACGAGCCTAGCGAGTCCTTCTTTGAGTGACCTTTGGACTTCTTGGCATGCTGGAGGATTCCCTCGTCGGCAGCAGGCGCAAAGTCTCGGTCCTGGGCGAGAAACCTGTCTCTCCAGTCGACGTTCGAGTAGCGTCCCAGGCTACCTCCCCAGTCGCTTGGGAGAATCGACGCCGGGAAGTGCTGGTGAAGACTGCCGAAGTCCCTGCCATGTACCTTGACCTTGGGACAGAGGGAAGAGGCCAAAGGTAAGCTGCTTACGAGTTTGAGAAATGAAAATAAATGGTGTGTGTGTGTGGGGGGGGGGTGTACCAGCTCTGCAATTTGCCAGGTCTGTTTGACATGACCTGTTGTATTGTAAATACCTTTGAAACGTACTGGAAATGCTCGAATGACATTTCCGATGGAAGCATTTCCCTTAAAAAAAAAATTGTGTTTAGAACTCGGCTCGAAGAAATATCAATTTGGGTAAGCGTGAACAATAGAGGTCCACTGCTGTCACGCACGCCAACTTACCACCACTGTGTTATCTGGGAAGTATACTAGTTTGATTTCTTTTGCTGAGTCGACCTTGGATCTTACTGTTTGATGAGTTCTAGATGTGTTGGTATCCATTATGGTTGCACTAATTACCACATAAAACACAAAAGCTCAGCGGAATAGGGCCAAAACAATTTTCAATACGTTTTTCCTTTGAATGTGTTTAAAGGAATGAAGAGAAGCATTGCTGGGAAAGGGAAACGAGGTGACAGCTTACTTATAAGCCTTTAAAATGGAAATGTGTTGGTAATCTTCTAATAATAATGATTATTACAGCAGGAGGGACCCAAGGTGACAATGATAATTACCCTTTGTTTCATTTTGTCTGCCATGAATGCCTTCAGAATCGTAAATGCAGCGTCGAATACCACAGGCTCGTTCACGAAATGGATGCCAGTCAGTCGAACAGGAACACAATTCTGTGGAGTGGGAAATCGCAAGCAGATTTTTGATATCTCTTTTCATCCACTACTTTCAGTCAGATGGTCAAGTTGGTAGGCTAAGCGCCACGTTCTTGTACGCTAAACGATTATTTTATTTTGCATTTATTTTGCATAAAACGATTTCCAAAAGCCGTCAAACTTACTTGACTGGCAGAAATTCTGCTACCGCGTAATTTTTTGAAGTGTTTTTGATGGGTAGGGTTGAGTAATATGTACGGTGAAGGAATCCGTACATTTCAGTCGGGCACTCTTATCAGATGACGTCATTCCTGTATCTTCACAGGAACTTCGGGCCGTGTCCGAATCAGTTGGCTGCGGCTTGATATAACGCATGATTCTATGGGAACTGGCCGTGGATGCTACCAAATATTCGCCGTAGCCAATTGATTCGGGCCCGGGCCCACGTCTGCGAACCAGAAAAAAGAAGTGGTCTTACGTCCTGCTTATGTATACAAATTTAAAACGCTTTTTAAGCAACAAACTGTGAGGGTCTATTTCAGTGTCGTTGAGGCAGTGGCGGTAATACGCATGCAGTGGCGATGGACATCGCGTTATGATAACAACTTACATGTAACAACTCATGCATCGTCACTTGCCAAGGACATAAGTAGATTTGAGTGACAGGAGATTTTAATTTCTGGGCTGAATGTTTTTCACCAATATTTTATGTGCAACTTGTTTCTTATAAGCTAAAACAGAAAACAATGTGCACAGTATATCATTTACCTCATGAGAATTTTATTTTCATTTTGACTCTGGAGCTGAACTGTTTTCTTCTATTTTTTCACATTTGACGTGCAATTTGTTTCCTCTAAGCTAAGGCAGAAAAAAGTGCAAAGAATGTCACATACTGCTACCTCATACGAATTTCATTTAAAACCGGAGACTGGAGCTGAACATTTATTTTTGACATTTAATTTTTCCATAGTGGTTGTGCTACTGTATTTTAACAAGCTCAATCTTGCCAAGAATAGAAGCCTCTTTTTTTGAGTGAGATGACTGACGCTATTGCTTCTTGTCATATTTTATGGTCTTTTTATTGATTAAAAGTTGTTAATTCACACTTCTCAGAGTAACAAGGCCATGCACTCTAAAGTATATGTATATGTGCATGTACATCACCGAGGAAAAAAAAAACCGCGTCCGCCTGCACCACTTTTGGACCAAGCCCATTACCAAAAACCGGAGTCCTTTTTTGGCCTTAAGCCCCTACCCAATGACCACCATAATTTTGCCGTCTCTGTGTGTTTTGGGTATTCCTGATTCCCATCAGTTTGACTCATTGTATATCGGTTTTAGTGGCCAACGGCTTAAATGAAGATTCGGGATCCAGTGAAGTTTTGCTGCCCGAGTGGTAACATAGTTCTTCTTAGCCTTATAGTTCGTTACTGTTCTGGTCGGCTACCTTAATTGTTAACCCCCGCACGGGTTCAAGTCTAGGGGGTTCCATGATGTGACACCACAATTATTTGTTTTTCATGAATTTCAAGCCAAAAGAACAAAATCTACTTGGCTGTTGTGATGTGTCACAACAGCGACAGAGACAGGGGCGTGCAGCAGGGACATGCCTCAGGTGCTAAATAATAACCCAAAAGGCGTGTAAAAAGCCCCCGAAAGTAGCTCCACCCCTCGGAAAAGCCATAAAAGGTTAAATGAAAAAAAATCGAAATATTTTCCCCTCCGCGACAACAGGTTTGGCACCCCTGAAAAGCTGGTTCTGGATCCGTCCTTGATCCTAAACTGCGTAGCTGAGCAGCTGACTCGCTACAGAAGCTATGATTTATAGCCTTTCACCTCTGTGCCATTTGGCTCGACCTGCTCTGTCAGTACAAGTGCGCTGTGACATAAATAATCAATTCAAGGGCTGAATTTGTCGCCACATTTACCTGAAATATGGAGGTGACTTTCCTCGCCAGGTTGGGACCCATCTGCATGACGTGCTGCGTTCCCATGCCTTCGAGATCCACCAGGAGGTTGATCCCTGTGATCTGTGCTTCCTCGGCCTCCATCAGGTCCTCCATCACCATGAAGAGAGCCTTAACAATGTCTACGGCGCCGTAGTTATTCGTGTCCCAATTGACTGCATTGGAATATTAAAAACCCATGTTTTAATGAATAATAGCTACCCGAGATACTGGAAGTCGACAAACTTCGCCTCGGGAACTATAGTTTTTCACTTTTAATACCGAGGGAAGCTGCCCTCAATCCTCAAGCCATGTTGCACCACTTTATTAGAGACTTGTAGAGTCATAATATTTATGCCAAGGGTTGTGATGGCTCGCGCACCCAAGCGAGGTTAGCGTTCTCAAGTTTCAAGTCCAGCCTATTGTTGTTTTTTTTACTTTTGTTTGTATTTATCTAAATCTTTCAATACGTTGCTGAGGTTGAGAGCCTATAGGGAAAGGCCCGTGATGTTCCGAGTGCGGTTTCTGAATCTGTCCCAGACTTGTTAAAATGTAATGACAATAAAATTGTAATTATTTATAATTCTTATTAATTTCTTATTAATTTTTTGCCCTGCCCGACATGAGTCATAACACAGCCTGGGGGCGTGTGAAAGAACCACACGCGTACTTGGGTTGGACTCGAACCCACGACCTCCTGCTCACTAGTGCAGACGTCTTAAATCACTCGACCACCGAGCTTGCCGGTGCTGGCCGGCTGGTTCGAGTCAGATGTAGCAGCAGGTACCGCGAACAATTACTTAATTCATCTTCCCCCGGCGCAAATCTATCCTTATATAATAAAATTGTAAATGCTTACTTGTTCTGAGTGCTACTATTGGTCGTCCCTCTGGATCTGGCGAAGATAGGACCATTGGGAATCCGTCATCGAGCACGTGTTTGATGGAGGATTTCTTGTAGTCCTGAAAAAAGTCCGGGTGTTTCTTGTGCAGTTCGTAATACTTGACGAGGGCCTTGAAGGCACGATCGACCTCGAACTTTTTGGCGCGGAGAAATCTCAACAGGAAGCGCTCGTCCTGCGCGAAGTGGATGTCCGGCCGCGTCCTCATCTGGTGCCGCAGGGCCTCGAAGGCCAGTTTCCGGACGAGGTGGTTTTCGCCAAGTTCGGTTTCTGCCCGTTTGCGAAGCTGCGGAGACAAACTGCACTTGTACAGAATGACAACGCGGGCGTTGCATGCCGCCTGGCTCGCCTCTTGTGTCTTGGAAACGGCACCATTTTGTCCCTGATGTTGGGCGGTTGAGTTGTTCATTCTAAGTACTGTCTGTCCATTCGTCTGTAAACTAATTATGAAAATACAAAATAGGTATGCCAAATTGTTATGCCAGTACCTATGCTAGTGGTACCATGGATGGCTAACCGACTCTGACTCCCTATGTTACCGGTGGATCCACTTCCCACGCAGACTCAGTCAAGGCCTTCGGACATGGCCCATATGTATTTCCATCAACTGAAGTATGCAGGTTCATGTGCGTTGTCAATGGTCATTTTTAGTAAAACATGCATCATTTTTTCCTGTAATACTCTATCTGTTGGCCTGATGAAAAGGTGGGAGTAAAGCAAAGCAGAAACAGTGAAGCAGCACATTTTTCTTGCGGTGAGTGGTTATACACCTGATGCTGGTGAAAAAAATACGCTTCATCATGACAGAACTCTCATATTCCGATGCAAACTTTGAAAGTTTTCAAATAAAGTTTATAACTGAAACAGACACAAAAAATCACAATTTAAAGGTCATATAAAAACTTTTCCTGGAAAAGGCCATCTTATAAGTCCCCTTTCCTCAGTCTACATGAAAAACACAACATAAAAAAATACTTCATATCCATCTTTCCTCCACACAATACAAAAGCACAAAGGAGATTTTGAATCTTAGGACAGAAGTTTCTGTGCAAAGTTCTCCAGCGGCCGCCATTGTCAGCAGAGACTTTTTTCGAGTACATGTACCTCTATTTCAGACTTATCGCGTAAGTTTGAGGCAGTTTGCGTTAGAAAGGGTGCCAGCTCATCGACAAATTGGACTTTGAACCGAATGTTTTAATTAATAGCAGTGGAACCTAAGTCTTGCTGCAAACGTGTGCGTACCTTCACTGCACAGCCAAAGATGTCACGCAGCGCGGCGCTGTTATGAAATCACAGAAAAATGTAGGAGAAATTCCCATGTTACGTTTTGACTACAGGGTATTTAAGAGACTCGCCAAATTTTAACCACTGGGATTACTCGTCAACCATTACCATCGGAGGAGAGGAGGCTTGTCAAAAGGAGAGAGGGCTTGCTGGAGGCAGAAAACATTCAAGATACAGAAAGATGATGATGGCATTATCAAGCAACTTAACTCTGGGAAAAGTTGCAGACATGAAGTTCTTATGCCGAGGTAGGACCACCGGTGGTTTAAAAATTGACAAGCACCAGAAGGCTAATCAAACAACGACGGATGGCCGTCCAATCAGGAACAGCCCTCAAGCTGAACTGAACATGACTCATTATGACATTCCGTCATTGACTGTGATGCATAATCTGCTGATGTGTCTATCGATTCTGTCATGCACATAAAACAATAATACGCCGCCAAAGCTGACTCACAATCTCTCCAAGGAAATTCGTAAGTTTCGAAACCAGAACTAGGATATTTCATACTTGGATGTTTCTAATCTAATCATTTTACGAAGATTAGTTTTGTTTCGAAGTGTCGACATGGAGATAAGATTACGTATAATATTCTCCCTGTGTATGCTGGATAAAAATCAACGGGAGAACAGAGAGAATATAATTAAGAACGTACAGGTCTAGAGTAGATAAAGGTAACGGGCTTCCGAATGATAAATGAATTTTCAGTGAACCCCAAATAAATTTTTTTTTTTTAAATAAACGTTGGATTTCATCTGTGTATGCAGTGGCGTGTCCCTCCCCCCGAAAAGTGCTAAGTCACTGTAGGGGACTATTGGCTCATTTTCTGTGAATATATGCCACTTTTGTTATTTGAGGAATTGAACATACCAACAGGCCTATGGTTAGTGGTACGTTCAATGGGAAGGATTCTTTTACGGATGAACACGAAATAATATAAAAATTGGACGAACGTTTCAGGAAAACAATCGCCGTTTGGCGCAGCTTCATGGACTCCAAACGCGTGGATACGTCACTTGTATGATGGGAGAACGGTGTATAATTCTTTGCTTCAATATAGCAATTAGTGTGGCATTTCAGATTAAACAGGGGCGGATCCAGGAAGTTTTCAAGGGGGGTCAGGCCCGTCAGATTTGTTGAATGTCCCTTGTAGATCGGGCACATAGACAATACATTACACTAATTCTGATGCACTCACTAACTTTATGAATATAGTATTAATAGGGTGTCGTTTTATATATTTGCTATGGATTATATTTACATCATATACGTCATTCCACGTTAGTTATTGTTGTTATTATTATAATTGCAATGTTTGTTTTGTGTCGGGGGGTGCCCTCCCTATCCGCAACCGATGGGATTAGTTGACGTCGATAGTTCGTACTGACTTCCATTGCAAAAACGTTGCTTTTAGGTCTGTAGCTCTTAAGTACTTCTTTTGACGTGCGATTTATTTAGAATGGGGCTGAAAATGCCACCGGCTCTTGTTTTGAACCTCTTGCATTATAACCCTTCCACGGTTTATTGCATGTACTAATTAAATTCCAAGACAGAAATAAAGTGTGCGATAAAAGAACACACTTTTTCGTTCCATTCCGATGGGTTTGAAGGTTCTGTCAAAATGGCGGCCCGACGTATAGGAGACTCAGATTCCCTCGGTTGAAAGAACCTAGTAAAAACTATTAAAAACTTACCTCACTTTGACAAAGGCCTCGCCGCATTAAGAAGAATTTCACTGCAACCTCACCAACAATAATATCAATTTTTTTACCGTTATTTTTTGTCTTTTAACTTCTTCGATGCAGTTTGGCAGTTCAATTGTGTAATCTCTCCCCAGAAAAAAATCTTTGTTCGATCAAAGACTCATGATTGTGGCAGTTTAGCCTGGGCAAGTCTCTTCCTGAACGCAATTTGTGTGGGAGTTGTAAGTTGTTTACTCAAAAGCTATAGTTTAAGGCTGTGTCGGTATCTTTGGTAAATATTTGGTCATCGAGGGATCATCTTATTTCTGTCCAAAGGTCAACCGTGAACATTCCCCCTACCCGTAAGTGAATGTTGCCGTCGGAGAACGAAGTTTAATCAGATAAGATTAATAACTGAAAAAGGCAAATGAACACAATCTCTTGTTTCGATGATCAGTTGTTGAAGCTGTTCAGTTAAGATGTGGTTTAAAGAAGGAATGACACCATGACGTCGATATTTTGGACGTGATATGTTGTGACAATTTGCATTACTCCACATTCAGTCTAAAGCTCCAATGCGATTCAGATATTAAAGCCCATTTACAAAATATATCGCCGAAAGACTAAAATAAAATATGGGGACAAGGGCCTGTGTCCACAAAAACGGGTCAAAAAGTGGGAAAAGAAAAAAGTAGACAGCCACTTATAAGAGTTATGTCTCTCCCAGTGGAGTAAATCCGTGCTGGAAATGGGGAGGGGGGGGCGAAAGGGGGGGTTGACTTGCCTGGTAATGAAAAATTGAAAAGCTGGGGGAGCAGATGGGCCACACCATATGACTCTATATGGTCCATGTTTATGATATTGATGTACATCTGTATTATGCATCCTGATTGGCATATTTATTGCTTTTACAATGGTTTTTCCTTTTGTGTGATACTGAATGCATTTTAGTCGCAAGATTTTTTCACAATCCACTTTAATTTTTTGCTCACCACAAAAAGTGTGGGCAGGATTTAATAACCCATCCCCTACCTCAAAAATTGTGTTGGGGGAATATATACCCCCCCCCCGGATTTTCGCCCGTGGATTTTATCCGCTGCAATGGCATTGTCTCTGCAGTGGTAGGACGCCATTTTATAGCAGTTAAAAAGTTTATATTCCTGTTAAAAATAGGTAAGCCAACAGAACTGCTTTGGTTTTGCTGCCACAAAACCAAGATGATATTTGCTTCGAGTGAGTACAAATGTGTCAGGGTGAAAACGGAGAATACACCAGAGATATAACCAAACCAAATAGCGCCCTCATCGTTACGTCATTGTAGTAGAAATACTCTTGTTTGTGCAGCTGCCAAGGATGAAGATCGCGATCAGTTCATTTCATTTTATAAAGATGAATTTTACAAGATGACAAATCCAGTGTTAATGATATTGACGGGGACCTTGTCCTTTTGAACAGCATATTGGGAGCCAATTTGGATGGCAATTGTGACAGTTTTAACAGATTGTTGAATGGGTCAGTGAACATTGTTTTGAGAGGATAATTACGGATGTGACTGTCAGTTTTGAGCTGTGAAAATAAACTGCGGGATTTCTGTGATAGTTTCACTGATATTTCCAGTTCCTGCAGGACAGTTTTCGCACTTAAATACGAATAGTTAAGGCAGTAATTTATTCAAAATGATGACAAAAGGGTTCTCTTGGCAAAAGAACAAAACCAGTGTCGACCGAAGTGCATTTTTGTCCTAAAGCAATAAAAAAAATGAAGCCTGCATTTGATGGTGATTGACAGTAATGTATGCGACCCGATTTAAGTTGCCCCCGAAGAAGAGAAATTCCAGTATAACACAGCAGCGTTATGTATGCCACTGCGGCACAGGAAGTCACTAGTCAATAACTTTTACAACGAGAATACCAAAGCTTGCCACACCCCACATGGGCCATGGGTTTGTCTTTGTAACGCCATGCATTATTCTTTTGTGGTTTGCTTGCTCTGACAGGCAAGTTTGAACAGCGTGAGGAAAAAATAGCCAAGAAGTAATGAAAGAGACTGACATGTTGAGTCATTTTGTAGTCCAATACAGTTTTTGAAGTCAATATGTCCATGACAGAATCGCCCACTTTGATCTCACGTCGTTATATCTCTGTACTTGTCTCAGCCGTTTACCCTGAAAATGAAGTCAACCGACGACGCCCTTTGTAATTCAAATTTTTCACAACAAAAGGTGCATTCAACTCTTACCGGCGAGGCTCTATTGTTAGGACACGTCATACGTTAACGACCCCACCATTTAATGTGTGGGATTGAGAGGAGTTTAACAGTCAACGGCTCTTGTTTAGTCAGGCCGCGGTTTTTGCTGGGTGTGCTGGGAGTTATTACAGTTATCACTGTAAGCCTAAGGGAAGAGCGACTCCGCAGATTATTTGCACCCAAATCAGACGAACTCTGCACCAAGTTTAAGATATGTGAACGTTACAGTTCCTTTAAGTAGTGTTTCCTCTGCATCGTAATCCATATTAAAGGTAAGGCATGACTGTATTGCTTTCATAACAGGACTGTACCAGATTTTTAAACTTTACTTCAGTATATGTGGTTGAAATAGTGCAGAGTCCAGATGAAGCTACATCTTGCTCGTTTCAGAGAAGTCATGGTTAAGGAAAGGAGGCATCATACAAACGCTTATTTACTGCTATGATTGCATAGTCAATGGTCAATAGTTGTGAAACAGCCTACGTTGAAAAAACATTTTAAACTGTTATTGTTAAATGTGTTCAGCGCAATCTGGAGTCTTGATTAATCAGATTTATTGTTACTCCATCCAATGTTGATTTGCTTTTGAAAAAAAACCCATTCGTAGTATAACCAACTCAGGAAGGAACACAATAAATTTGCGCGGGAGTCAAGTTGCGCTTAACAAATTAATGTTTCACATTTTCTTAAAACAAACTCGGTATTCTCACAACTCCCTATACACGTTGAACTCAATTAAAAAGTTGCGTCTAGATAAACAGCACTCTTACTTTATTGAAAATCACCCGGAAACGTATCAAATGCATTACAAAGAAAAGTATACACAAAACAATGCGTTTCATCCATTAAGAGAGTGATCTATGCTCTGAAGTGTGTCAAAAGAAAATTATTTCACATTGTGTTGGTCGCGTTTGTTCGGCAACTGCATGTAACTTGTCCATCTTTTCAACAGTTACATACATTTGTTGCTATCTAGCTTTTAAACTCATAGTTGAAATACCGCAACATCACTTCCGTGAGCGAAAAGTGTGGAAGACAACCTTACCGAGAATTTATAATTACTTGAATCTTTTGACCTTGTTGGTAGCATACCCTGGTCCTCATCTTTGCCAAAATGGGGTTATTTCGTCTGACTTATATATTGTGAGTAAAAACGTTTCGGTGTTATCGGGAAATATTTTGGATTACTGCTTCATAGCGATTAACCCTAACACTCCTCAATCCTTCACCTGTTGGAGGACTGAGGACTGTTAGGGTTAAGGTTTACTTACAAAGAAAATAGCGGAAAACAGTGACACCGAAGTTCTGTAAATACACTGTCACAGTGGTGCATCTCCAAATGAATACAGATATCGAACATTATTGTTGAACTTTTTTCAAGTATAACACGAGCACCGTGACTATTTCGACTTAAAACTTGATGAAAAGGTGCATTTGTTGTTCGTTCTGCAGCATTTTTCGTTTCAATTATATCTGTATAATGATGAACTCATTTGAATGAAGCCAGTGCACTTTGACTGCAAGTCATGAGATAGTTAAAATATTTGGCTCGACTCGATGGGCATGGAAAACTATGCTCTATGGCAGCGTTGCTTTTAAAAGGCAACAGATGTGAACCTGAACCTGGTCGTTAACTTTACATGGTTTGGTTGTTGCAATCCTGCCAAACGAAATACCAAAGTTCGTTTTGGCAATTCTGCGGTTTCACTTATGAATTCTTTTTATAGGTTTGTTTGGCAAGGTGTTTAGCGGTTCTGCTTGGTAGTGGATATGTACATGACAATGCACGGAGTCGGCCCGGAATGGGCATAAAATACGGCACAAGAAAGTGGGTCCCAGTCAAAAAGTTATTATAATTTCCTTCGTCGGCCCTGACGGAGAGCCGTAATGGACAAAGGCAGACGACATGTGCAGGCTGGACCAGCCAACCATCCGTTTACTTTATATTGCATTCTGTCACTTGCTTTGAAGCTTAGTACGCAGCTAGCTCTGCATGAGAGAACTTGTAAAAATCCTGAGTTGTTTATCTTGGGATGACGATGTAATTATTCCAGGCACGTTGTCGACATCCGTAGATAATTTCATCCCAGAAGTGTCATGTTGACGTTTAGATGACAATGTCTTGACAGCAAGTGATAAATCCTCTCTAAAAGCAGAAGAGTGAAAAACTCACTCTCAAAAAAGCGAGTCCCTCGTATATCCTAAAAGCAGAAGAGTGAAAAACTCACTCTCAAAAAAGCGAGTCCCTCGTAAATCCACTCCAAAAGAGTAAAAAAAACACACCTAAAGGAACGAAAATCACTCTGAAAGAGGAGCCATATAAAGGACAACTCTTTTTCGAGTTGTCCTTTTTATGGGCTACTTGACAGAGTGGGAACTTCACTCTTTTGGAGTGGTTTTCACTCTTTTTGAGTGGTTAATAAATATGACTCACTCTTTTTTGAAAGTGAGTTTTCGCTCTTTTATCAACTTGATCTCGTCATCCTTCTGTCAGGATGTCGATATGCATCCCATGTGTCGGTATCCATGTCTGTAACTTGACGCATGAAGCATAATCACATAATCCACCTCGAGCAAAAGCACCCCCTCATCGGTTGAAAAGAGCTTCATGGGTCACCAGTGTTCTTTTTTATCGGTTGCAATGCTACCGAACGCGTTCATTTTAAGTCGTTCGTGAACCAGCGAAGTGCAGTTCCGACCAAGGGAGCCTCCGTTGCTGAGAAAATTTCGTCCACTCTCGGTCAAGCTCTAGGCCCATAGCCTGTGCCAAGTTTGCGTCATCATTCTGGAATAAAAGACTAAGGATGTCACTTGGTTGGCACTTCCGAATTTCCCTTACTTTAGGTTTCAGGAAGTCTGTGATTTATTATGCGCGTACATATCATCACCCACAAAGCATGAAGGTTGAATACATGTACAACTATACAATAAATAAAATGTAAGGTATAACACTCTAATCGGTGCAACAGAATGCAGGTGGACGTCGCGAACAGAAGAAGAACAGAAAGAATTTTTACAGTTTGTAGAAATTGGCATTGTAAATTATTTCCAACTTTTTAGCCTTTTTAAACAGTTCCTTCGTTTTAGGGCTTGAAAATATGTATTTAAATCTAAAAGAACCAAAACGCCGTTATTCCATTCCACCTCTCGTGGTACCTGTTCTCCAAGGGCAGGTCCGCTGCGGTTTCTCTTAAGTCAAACTTTCAATGGCACCAGGCCATACCTCACCGGGCCCGCTTTGTCCAAATTTGAATTGGCCATAACAGCTATTATGTTTTTGGTTGGCTGGTCCTATTCTATTGAACAATAACTGTGGAATTCGCAACCTGCGGGATTTTTGCTCCCCACAAAGCTACCCCGTTCTCCTGCTGTGGCGTCATTGTGACAAATCTTCGGGCATATTGGCTGGATGACAGCTTCTGTTCATAATTAACCGGAAACCTCCCGCTTTGACACAAAGTGGTGACGGGGCAGGGTCTAGAGGTTGAAATTTCGGAAACTGTGAGTTTCCAGTTGCATGGCTCAGTGAAAAATCTGACCAAATATGCCTACGAGGTATTCTAACCTTGATGTTCATAGGGCGATAAAGAAAAACAAAAAAGACATTCTATCAAAATATGCATGGACCCTGATTTGGTTCTCAATGGGCCGGATAATCACGAGTCTTTTTCTGTAAGTTGGCCTTCCATGCAGTTTCTTTGGGTGTCTTCTCCCACCAAAACGTACAAGGAAATATTGTCCATCATTATGATCATAAAAGGTCAATTGACGGTGTCTGTAGCTCGTAGAAGCATGTTTCAGCGCACAGGGCTGTCATCGTCTCCTTTGAAATCAAATTACATGTAATAAGGTGAAAAGTGACATAAACTGAGTATAATTTTAGTATTCACTGAGGCAAGTTTCAATTCAAATGAAGCAAGTGGAAGCTCGGGCTGTCAGTAGGCCTATTGTTCCCTTTCAGCGATCTGCCCTTTGACAAAAATCATATCCTTTCCACTGCACAATGTGAAGCATCCACTGTTTTTTACGGATACAGCATCTCAAACAATTAAAAAAATGTAAAGAAGCCCCTCCATCGTTATAGCAATGTTACCGTGCAGCTGATGAATAGAACTTCGATCAATCCATTTCCTGTGCAATGGAACGAATGGAATTTACTGCTTTACATACTCCAGAAAGGATAATATTCTTCAAATAGCAAGGTTATGCTGGTGACAAACTGGACAAAGGAGTAAAACCTCAACTGATTTTATGTTTTTGTATCCCATTTTCAGATGAGGGACAAACAAAATCCAGGAGACACCTATAACTATAAGGAGCACGTCTATGCCGACCCAGTCGCGCTTCGAAATGAAATTGAGGACGAGAGACAGCAAAAAGTGGACAAACAAGATGTCAAGAAGTACCAGCAACCCAGTAGCCCTCCCCCGGTCCCAGGTGGACCAAGAAACGGCACCTCGGGAAACGGCCTGTACTCGGAACTCGCAAAGAAGACCAATCTGCCGAAATCCACCGTGCGAGATCTGGCCAGCCTGTTCGGCGGGACGGTCCCGCGGACTCAACGCGACAAAGCGCCGGAGGACTTGCTGCCGCCGCCCGTACCCGAAGTCACGGGCTCGCGGAACGTGTTTGAGACCCCACCAGATAGTCCCGTCAAAACTACTGTACATAGTGCAAGTACTGTCCTGAACATATTAAGTGATGAAACGGCACCCTGTCACGACGAGACTCCTGAAGAAGGCGTTTACGAGCCGAATTTTAAAGAGGAAGAGACCAATGTCTGTGTGGATTTGGAAGATGTAGAAGAGCCACCGCCCCAAATTTTGAACGCACAACCAATCAGTTTGGAGGAGTCACTTCAGGCCTCGTCCCCGGAGCCAGATGATGAAGCTCAAGTTGTCATCGACGTACGAATCAATTCCGAAGCTGGGATTGAGATAGGCGCCGAAATCCCGACGGTTACCGAAGATGCGAACTGTACCGACGATGACGGTGGAATCCGGTTGATCAAGAATGTCAAACGCGACCCTTTCGCCGTTGAAACCGGCAATACTGGCGAAGCGAGCACGGCCTCGACAGCACCGGTCGGCATCCCGGTTCCTGCCAAACTGGAACACGGCTCGGAGACCGGATCAGGTGGTGGTAGCAGCAGTGGATCCACCAAGCGGAAGAAAAAAGCCGTGGAGTCTGGGATCAACTCAGCCGGTCACATGCGCCGACATCTCATTATCATCTCCTTGTTTCTACTTATCGTGTTGATTCTAGTCTTGGTGGCCGTGGTGGTTCTCATCAATTACACTGAGATTTTTGCTTGACATTTTAAGTTCTATATTCACACCATATTAAATGGTTTTCAGCTTGATGGGGGGTGATTTCCCGCTTGTAGAAGGGCGTGGGGATAAATTGGGGGTTCAAATCTAACATCATTAATGTCTTGGTGAAGTTCCTATTCTTTGTTGAGTAGCCCAAAGGTGCTTGGAGAGATCACCGTACACTTAACTGTTTTGGGGGCATGTCCCTTGCAGCACCACCTTGGGAAGGCGTGCATCCCCCTTTTCCCGATCACGTCCCCTTTCCTTGACTGCGCATGCGCCTACCGAACACAGCCAAATCGTCGAAAAAGATTCGGAACTTCGGGTACCATCGGGCCAAACACCGTCAAAAAGATCGAATGCTTTCGAAATTCGGATGCTTTCTGAATTCGGATGAAATGCTGGTGCGGAACTCGAAACCTTCGGCTGTTTATTGTCGGGGAAAATGCATTCGAATCTGGAAAACGTTAGGCCTGTCAAATTTCATTCGGATTTCATTCAAATCTTCAAAACATGTTCGGTCTGAAAAAAATTTACTCGAATCTTAAAAACATATTAGGTCCAACAAATTTTATTTGTATCTTAAAAACATGTCAGGTCTACAAAATTTTATTCGAATCTCAAAAAAATGTTGGGTCAAAAAAATTTCATTCGAATCTTAAAAATGTATTGAGTCTGTAAAATTTCATCCAAAAAGATATTTTAGTTACGAAAGATTCCATTCGGTTTTGGCAAATGAATTCAAAAATTCAAAGTACGGTCTGTTTTAAAAAACATTACATTACAAAAAAAATTCGATTTTTCAAACAGCATTACATTTCTCGGAAAACATGTTCCGATCTTTTTGACTCTAATTCTGCTTTGCATGCAACATATACATGTACGTTAAAGTGTAGTTGCAATGAATTTTTCTTATAGAGAAGTTTTTCAAGGTTTCTTCAACTCTGTACTCTTCTTCAATGTATGAAAACTCTGTTACATTCCTATTTGGTTAAATGCATTGAAAAGTGCACTTTTTTAAACAATTAAATTATCCATGCGTTCCTGGACAACTGAGGGCACTGTTGCTGCATGTGAAGTCATGTAGGGAAGACATAGTTTATTGCAAAGGCTTTTCTGTTCAAATTGAGAACCCAGACTTTACTTCATGAAAACATATTTGAGAAAGGATTGCTTGCTTATGGCTATGCACATAAACAGCAATGGATCAGTAAAGAAGAGAAAACTGAGTTCAGCAAAATCTACAAAAGTGCAGGAGTTTTTGTACACAAACATTCGCATAAAAACAAAAAAGCAGTAAAATGACCTTTGAAATAGTGAAGCAAAACTTAAAATGAGATTAATTGAAACACAGAGATGCATTTCGAAGGTTTGTATTAAAACAAATTAATTGATTAAATAAACTCCTGGTTTAAAGGATAGCTATCCTTCCATGGCGTTTTCCCCCACCGGAATGGTTAACGCCGTCAAGTCTGTCGTACTTGTAAGGCATTGGGGTCAAGTGGACCCTGGGTAAAGTATTTTCATTTTCTTCTTTGTTCATGACGAAAAAGGCATGGAGGAACTAGGGCATTTTTGCATCCAAGTTAACAGAATGAGACACGAGGCTCGAAATCAGATTAATTCACCAGCGGCACCACCTGTGCCGAAAATGACCAACATTAATACCAGGGAAGAAGTAAAGTCTCCCAGCTTTGATGGAAAGGCATTAAGTTTCAATAGCAAATGGATGAAATTTCTGAGATTTCCATTTTCGACATGTGGTCGTTTGAGATTTTCATTAACTTATAAATTCATAAACATTTCGTACATGGCCAAAATGGTAAAGTTCTTCAGTTTACTTATAAACTGGTCATATTTGATTGGTTTGCTTTGTATAAAAAGAAGTTGTTTTAAGAAAAGATTCTCTTGATTATGTTATGGGGATTGAGGGGGAGTTGGGCACTATAACCGGACACTATCTCGTTTTATTGCATGAATGGCCATTGGTAATGAACAGTATACAGTGTACATGTATTCAGTTTCCTTGCGATGGTCAACTCGGACAAACGACCCTGTGACAGCTTGCAGGTTCAAGCTGAGTTAAGCTACAATGACATAAATATTATTAGAATATCATGTCACAATATCATCATGGACGTCATCGTGAAAAAACGTTAATTATCCTATTTTGATGATCAGTGTTGTATTCAATCGAAGTGTAAATAGTCAGTAGAAATATGTTGTACGTCTATATTTGTATATTCTTGACTACAACTGATATTAAAGTTAAGAGTAATGGTCCATCATGCATTTGAGATGTTATTCCTAGCCATAAGTCATCAGTATTTGACACAATTTTTATAATAGCTTTAATGTATATTTTCAAGTTTAAAGAGGAAGAAATAGTCAGTATTCCAGAATGAGGCTCACTTGTTATTAATAACATTAATAGTTTTAATTCTAAAGACATCAAAAAACCATTACTCGGAATAAAGATGGGACAGGTATGCACCCTGACCTTTTTCTGTCGTTACGTTACAGTAGATAAAAAGGATGGTGATGAGAACACCGATCCAACGTGTAGTGTCTAGCTAACAATGTGTTTTCTGTCATTATAAGTTAGTCTATCATAATCATAAATATTTTTGTGGTGTATAATTACTGCCAGAATTTTTGTCGTACGTGAAAGTGATTGGAAATATATTTTTGAAAATTCTCTTTCATGGAAGATGTTAAGACCCTTGTGTTTTGCGTGTCACTGCATCTGAGCCACTTTTTCTGTTATGACTATACTGTGGCCTAAACTGCGAAGAGAGAAGTCCACCTTCTCAGTAAGTTTTACTGGGCCATTTTTCCTATTTCTCATGTGATTTGCTGTATAGGTCATTTTCTACATTTCAGGTCCGTCGTGTGATATAGTTCTCTTCCCATGTTTATCATACCTGACCTGCAGTGATTGGATATACACTAGTCATTAAATTTACATCAAATTGTTGTACTTGCTTAGTAAGTAATTCGCATTACGGTACTTAATCACTCTTGGAAATCGAAGAATGTTTTCTAAACTTACAAAATTATACACCAAATTTGACCCGGTACATTGTTATCAGGAATAGCCTAAGTCGCTGTGGCCGTTTTACATAATGGCCAAGCAAAGTGGTGATATTGGTAAATGTTGAAAAAATCAATGTGGTGGTTTCTGTATATTTTGGAAGTGTATGTATGAAAGGTTACCATCAACATACGTGTAATATATACCATTTGAAAGCTTGTGAAATTCTCTTTCTGACTATGCGAACATATCTCAAAAAGTCAATTTGAGACTTATTCCTGATTTCGATGTGCTGGGTCACAAATATAAGAGCGACAGGGAAAACTTGGCCCCCAAACAGAAAATGACGTACTTCCACAGCCCAAGTCAGGCTTGAGCAAGCGCAGGCAGAATATTAGTCTTTGTTCAAGAAGCTAATGGTCGATACGTACACATGTATAAGGGTATATCACTGACGTCTTAGACCAAGACCGTAGCATTATAGGATGGCGCACGGCCAGGAGGATGACTGAAACTTTATAGGTCAGAACTATTCGGTGCAATGGATAATGTTGTGATAATTTGCATTACTCCACATTTAGTCTGAAGTTCCAGTGCGATGAAGATATTAAAGCCCATTTACAAAATACATCGCCAAAAGACTAAAATAAAAAGAGATATTGAAAGAGATAAAGTCGTGCTTTATAGATCTGGCATTGGGAACTTGATCGGCCTCGCCGATGGTCCTAGTCAATACCGTGTCCAGCGCATGTGGGCCAGGCATGTGTTATAGCGCCAACACAACAGTTTTCCGGGATAAACAGACGCCAGTGATAATTTCCTACATAGTTACCTATCAGCCGTCAGAAAGCAAAAACATGTCGAGAAAAGTTCAATTTAGGAGGAATAAAACCAAGTCGTTTACTTCGAAAACAGATAAAAATTTTCTGACCAGTCCCACATACCATGGAAGTAGAAATAGATATTGCATGATATATGCACAGGGTCTCAAGTGGCGTTCGTATAAGGAACTCTTTCTAACCCGTACAACTGCAAACACGTTTTCATTACCTCTCTATGCAACCTATAAATCACAATTAAGCTCTTTTTGGCCACTTTAAATTGATTGAAATTACTGTGATGCTTCATGATACATATCAATAAATTTTGTTTTTCAGGATTTCCACTTATCAGTTTGAAGTCTGATCTGATACTGTTCAATCTGGCATGAACATACTCCCTACCCTGTTAGCCGTGGAATCTAAGGCCAACTTTCCTGTTTGAGATCCACTGGATGATGGATCTGGAGGGTTACGTTAGTATTCTTGACTGTTATAACCTTAATGAGTTGACTGATATGACAAATTCAGTGGAATTGTTTTTACGGATATTCTGTTAACAACAAAAAGTGAAACATTTATCATCGAAAATATGAGCGATTCATGATGCAGTGCGCCACCAAGAGGTTTTCATGGAGAGGCCTTATTTTCATAATACATTAAGGGCTATTTAGTTGCCAAAATCTCATTCATGAACTGTGCTGTGCATGGGAACCTTCAATTTTTCAAATTGTACGTTTATATTGGTTGAAAATTCGAAATTGCTTATTGTGAATGGGCGTAAGGTAGTCAAGATGGTCGTTTTGTGTGGTGTAGGGAACAACTCAAATCAATCAAATATCCCCAAGCTAAGTACCAGAATATGCTTAATCGGGGCAGAGTGTTGACAATAAGTTTGACAGTGGCCTGTCTGCAGCAAACTGATGGTGCAATGTATTGTGAATCACCTGTATTGAAACATTTGAAAATTCATTTTGGTTTTTCACCGCTATGCCTGACAATGATTCTACTACATATATTCATCGCCAACTTGAAGATGTTGTCCATACCCAATGTAGAATTGGCTGAAGCCCCAAAAATTGCTTTTCTGATCTCCTCAGTCTCAACTTTGTTTCAAACTGTTCAAGACTTTATCTTAAATCTGTGGCTTAGCCTGGCCATATCTCCTGTATAGCTGAAAATTCCTTTCCTTGTTTTGAAGTCACAACTTCAAAACTTCTTTTAACTCTCCTTTTCTTTTAGCTCAGTGACACGCTGATCTTCAACAAGGATTTGTCATCAGGAATTTGAACTGACTTTCTTGCTGATGTATTCAGAGATGACTGGCCAATGCTATTCCGAGGATAGTTGCTTTCCTTTATCTCATGCTAAGCACAGCAGTACCATGTCCGAGGGCATGTATGACATGAAATTACATAATTGTAAGGTCATGATGGTTAATTTGGCATGATCTGAATATTCAGTAGTTATATGTACCAACATTGTTATAGTGCAAAGGTGTTTTTACCATTTAGAATGTGTAGGTTGCAAACATGATGTATCAATGACAAAATAATTTCTACTAATGAGTAATTCGAATGAGTAATTCTACTTAGTAATTTGTTATTACAAATTAGTTTCCCACTGATTTTTTTTGTCTGTGGCATGATTGGGCTTTCGTAGGTTCTTGACACAGCGGCCAGCTTCGTGGACGCTGTGCATTGTGATGCATAGCGTCCACATAGCGTCCACAAAGCAAGGGGTGTTCGTGAACGGATTACCTGAAATGTAGTCTGCCGCTGAAAGTAGTACCTGAATTCTAAAAAAATAATAATAATTCTATAAAAATTATTTTTGTCGTAATTTTTCCATAATTGGTAACGAAATTGGTACAAATCTTAAATTGAAACTCCTTGCATAACTGATGTTTTCCATCCCAAATAGATACAATGCCAGAATGAAAAAAAAATTTACAGACGCGTAAAAAAAAGAGGCTTGTATTTATACGCGCACATGTAACAGCACAAAGCGGACGCGGGCAGTTTGTTAACTGGTTCACGTCCTTTTACTGAAGTGAGCGACGTGTGGGTGAACCAGTGAACATTTATTTCAGCTCTCGCCACGCACGCCTGAAGACGACGCATCAAATTCGCCATGACGGTAGGAAGAAAATCATGAAAATTTGCCCTTTCTTGCAATAAATAACAGTGTCATGATATAAATTTTGTTGATTATGAATGTGTTGATAATTTTGTCTGAAATTTGTGACAGTGTACGATAAATTGAGGCCTAGAAATTGAGTCATGTTTTTGCACTCAAACTAGCCATCATACAAATGTGACGCTCGCCATGCTCGCCATTATCAATTTCAGTTTTCACTAAATTGCAGCCATGGCAGAGGTGTGAGAATTAAGGTGTTTAGCTGATTTCAGCAATATTTGTGTAGATGTAGGCCTAGCATGCCTAGGAATGATGGTAGGTATACACATAGGCATGATTGGTAAAATCCCCTAAAATTGGGCTACCGTCACGACTATATAATCCTGAAATAACTTATTTGAAAGAAAGAACATAACATTAACGGCCACACTCAGTCTGTCAAATATTTCCGCCCAGAATGCTGCCATGTTGTTCTCTTTTTTTTACGGTGGTCAGCCAACCATCATATAGGAGTTCATTTCACTTCGCACATCACATTCTTTAAAAATTAACAGGCGGCAATTTCTTGTACAGTGTGTAGTGTTTGTAGGCTTGATGTGGGAATCTCCATCAATGAATGGGTAAACCTAAAAGCAGCTAAAATATACCAACAAAAATTCACCCAAAGCATAGCAAACTGAAATTATAGGAACCTGAGTTCAAGTTTTAGAGTAGGGAAATAAATTGGGTCAGCTGATTAGTGTGAAGTTAAATTTTATTTCAGGAAAGGATTTTTTGTCATGCGAAAACTTTGCGAATTCAAAATCACCCCTAGATCATAATGGTATGATCCAAATTTGGTGGCTGTTTCCAAGCAGAATGGTGAAAAGGATTTTCGTCGACAAAAAGTATGATTTCCATGTGTGAATCAACTAAGAATGAACTTCTTAGACTTTTATTGACGTGTAAACTGATGCGAAAGTGTGGTCAGTAAGCATGATCGCGTGGGAAACGGGTCAAGTTGTCCCCGGGTCAATTCGTCCCCCACTAGTTCTTCACAAGTGTTATCTGTGCGTGTAATTTTCTTTTTCTTTTTAGAGTCAACACACTTTCCAGAGCCAGCACACTTTCAAAGAGATAATTCAGTCTTGTCTACTACATTGATTATTAATAAATGATTATTAAATGAAATGGAAATAGTTTAAGTAAAACAAATAAAAATCCCAGTAAAATACAAAATATTTATTACCCCAGTAAAAACTTGATAAGTAAAAATGAAATGAAATAAATTATCCACCCCCAAACAAAATTTTACCCTAGTAAAAATTTTAAAAGTAAAAAAAAAAAAGTTACATAATAATTTAATTATTTATAGGGGGGACGACTTGACCCGGAGACGACTTGACCCGGAGATGACTTGACCCGGAGATGACTTGACCCGGGGATGACATGACTTGGAAATAGCTTGACCAACATTCGGTCGCGCGTGCATGTGCGTTATCATATAGGCCGACTCATTTTGGTGTCACTGACACAAGTCGACTGTGCTCCCGGATGAAGTTTTTTCATGAATCCGCAATGCTACATTGTCGAGGAGGCGCATTACTCCAAGGTGAATTCACTGATTACTCCTAACCAGTGAAAACTTTTTTTTAAGGAAATAAGTCATGCCTGTTTCCCACCCTGATCCCACATATGTTGTTTGCTTACTATAAACACCCTGTAAACCATAGATTTTACGCAAGAGAAATTACAAGATCTTTGATTTAAGCATCGAAAATGCCGCACTGTTTTTCTGGATTTTTCACAAAGCCGTTGATTCAAACATGAAACAAGTCGGGGGATGTAAGTTGCAGTGAATATTATACACCTTAATCAGCCAATCCTGTGTAATTACAACAAAAAACCAATGGTGTTCACTACCTTTAAGGGGCCACTCGCACCCTGAATTTGTATGACTATGATGCACATGACATTGTGTTAGTGCGGGACCTGGCTCACATGGCATATGATAAGACATGTTTAGCATGAGGCAGGCGCTGTGTCCTTCAGTATGGCCATTCAACTTTTAATTCACATAAGGCCCTAATTATGAACATGATGAACATGATCCTAGGTTTGTTTCTAGAAACCTAGGATTTGGTACTGTTTGCCAACAATTTTTGCAGTCGGATGGGGCCTGTCTGGGAACGAACGTACATTATCAGGGATTGTGGAATGGCATGAAGGGTAAATTTGCCCCTTTGCTGCAGTGTTAAGCCTAAACGTTCGTAGTGACATCATGCCAACAGTGAGAATAGCAACATTCAACAAGTTTGTGTTCCATCAACTGTCATCCTTCAGACATGCTAAGAGTCACTCCAAGACTCACTTAGACCGGGAACAGGTCAACTCGTATGTGTGCCAAATCGTACACTGACCAACTTGTATGTGTATTGGCCAACTCGTACACAGACCAACTCATAAGCTGACTAACGCATACGTGGACAAACTTGTGCGCCGCAACGGGACACTGTCGGTTTTAGTCTGAACTCTGGAATTGAATGACTGCAAAACATTAAAACTACTCTTTTCAGAACTGCAAATTAAAAAAACTAATCCGTTTAAAAGAATTCAGCATCAAGATTTAATACTGAATCATAACTACAATGTAGTCAAACACATAATTACCAGGCAGAGCCACTTATTTTACTATTTTTAATCATTGATAGCATGGATACACACAACATTACTAATTAAGGCTAAATGTCTGGGGGGGGCACCCGGGGTGCACACATTATTTCAACAGGTCACCACAAGAAACTAAGCTGCAGCTGCAGCATTGTTCCCCCATCTTTGCGAAGGTTGGGAAACAGGATGATGGTGTCATGTTGGATATACAGACCATCCATCTTGTCACTGCATAGGATGGAGCTGTCATTTCAAATTTACGTCGAACTCTTCATGAACTCTCGTCTGTCTCACTTGCTGGATATCCGCCAGCCTCAGAGTGCAAAAGTGTTGCATGTTAACGAGTGACCCAGAAATAGACCTTCCTGGAAATTCACATTGGGGCAACACTTATTCAGAGTCGCTCCTATGAAAAGCCATGTGAATTCAGTTGGATGTTTGTCTCTCCTTTCTTCTTAAGAACGAGGAGGAAGCCCTGCGCAAACTGTTCCTGGGGGGTCTAGACAGGGAGAAGACCAAGGAGGCACAGTTGAGAGACTACTTCAGCGCCTATGGCGAGGTCACTGACTGTGTCGTCATAAAGGACGACTCGGGATCCTCCAAAGGCTTTGGCTTTGTGACCATGTCCACGGTGGATGAGACAGACAGGGTCTTGTTGGACAAAGATGACAGCGAGCCTCACATCATCAATAACAAGAAAGTGGAGGTCAAACGTGCCATACCCAGAGGGGTAAGTTGAACTAGCTCCTAAACTACTCACCTTTGGTTTTTCTCATGGGTCCTATTCAAATGTGACAGTACCTGAACAAGGGCAACATTTTGGTTTCATCTGGGGAGATCAAGAGAATATTTAGTTATTACATATTTTGATTTACAGTAGATTACAAGGTTCAGAATCATTCAGTGTTATGCTTTGGCATCGCTTGGGATACTGAATTCCCGCAAAATGTTTATTATTTAAATCAGGTTATTTCAGTACCCGACCTCAAAGTGGGATGTGAAACTCGCAGAAATACTTCTTGGGAGTTTTTCAAACCATACAGTAGATTTTAGCAGTTTAAAAAGAAGATGAAAAGAAAATCAGTGAATTGATTCACTTTGTGTCAACTTAATGCTCTGTATATAGCGAGATATCTTGCCTGACCCGATCAAGAAGTTATTTGTGGCCGGCTTCAAGGATGCCAACATCACTGAAGACGAGTTTAAGAGTTACTTCGGCGACAAGTGCACCGTTGACAAAGTCCACATTGTGAAAGATAAAGAGACCAACAGGCAAAAGGGCTACTGCTTTGTCGAATTGAGCAACCGTCACATGGTCGACAAAGCTGCAAGTAAGGAAACAACTTGTCTCAATGCCACATCTTTGGTCCACACGTTTGTCTCTCAGTCCCATCTTTAGGGTTAAACTATCACCCATGTACACTCGGTTTTTGACTGAATTTGGGTGGTTATTTGGAGGAACCTGATACAAGTGTGCACTTTCTGAACTGCAGAGTTGCACAGCTTCAGTGGAGGCCCAACTCATTGGAAGATATAAAAATTGCTCCTTTTTAAAAATGAGTTATTGATCCTATTTAAGTTTCTGCAGCTGCTTAGAGTGCCTCAAATTCAAGTATGCCCAAGATAAAAGCATTTTACATTTACAGTTTCCATACTTGAAGTTCATGCATTGAATTTTATGTGGATGTCGAAATACAAATATCTATTTGAAGATAATTCAGTTTTTCATGGAAATACAACACCAGAGCCTGGCGTTGGGACATTTGACTGAAACAGGGATTTGACGCTTCACACCTTTTTGTGTTTGTCTTTCCCCTCCAAGTCATTGAGAATCACGAAATCAGAGGCATCAAAGTGGTCGCCAAGAAGGCCATACCCAAGGGTGACGAGGCCATGGGCGGAGGCAGGGGAGGCGGCGGCGGTGGCAGAGGCAGAGGGCGGGGTGAGTAAAAGCAAGATCGTAGCCCGCAAAACTTGCTTGTGCGGGGGTAAGGTTTAATGAAACTTGCACAGTCTTGAGCAGTGAAACCTGCCGTGGTTTCCACTCTGATAGTGACCATACCCAATCAAAATATCTCGGCAAGCAGCAAGTGATGAAGAGAGAATGGAGCAGCTGTGTGCCTCATGCCTATCATAAAAAAAAGCTCGAGTCAATTCAAATGATTGAATATTTGAGTAGTCCTCCTTCCATTTGATTGAATATTCAAATTATACATAATCCCCCAAAGTTAAATCAGAATTTATTTTTTTCAGTGAGTTACAGAAAGCAGAAGAATGTGAAGGAAATGTCATTTTGGCTTTATTGTTGGGCATTTGTAGTCGGCTGCATGCAGGTTATTCGTAACGCCTTGAATTGTGCTTTGAGAAGGAATTTTTTTTTTGTCAACAGTGTATTTAAACTTTCCCTCTTCTATCATTGACATTTACCTCCATTGGATTTCAGAAATAAATATTCAAAACTCAGTTGAATATATGACTTTTCAAAATAATGAGTACAGCCCTCGCATGAAACACTCTTGAGTGAGAGAACACCAGTCTTCCATGAAGCCACTTTCTGAAGCCTCAGTACACATTGAAGAATACCATGAGTACCAACAAGGAAGAGAAATCTCTTCCTAGCCTCATCTAATCTGGGTGGAAATTCATCAACATGAGCCTTTAATGAGTTACGAATTGCAGTTGAACTCAAGGTCAGTTCATGCTTGGCGTGAACACAAATGGGGAATGGGACGTCAGATCCAATATTTGTTGAGCAACATTCTTTGGAGTTGTTTTGTGACCTCCAAATTCCCATCACTTTTGCATTTGCCTGATGTGTGAACTGGCCGTTAACAGTCGACATTTTTTCTCTGCAGGTAGTTACAACAGCGGAAGCTACGGTGGTGGGAGTTATGGCGGGGGTGGTGGCTACGGGGGTGGTGACAGCTATGGGTCATACGGTGGGGACATGTCTGAGGGCTATAGCTCCTATGGAGGCGACCGATACAGCGGTGGTGGCCGAGGGCGGGGTCGTGGTAGCTACAGCAGCCGTGGAGGCGGCGGTGGAAGCTACGGGGCCAGCGGAGGCAGTAACTGGGGCGGCAATGGTTATGACGGTAAGAACTTGCGATGTGCATGATGGTCTCCCCATGGATTATCAGTGGCTCTGTGAGTGAACCCCCTTCCGACCCTTCACCTAGTGCAGAGCTATGTGTATATAGAATTGCGACACGAGTCTCTTAATTGTTGGAACCCAACAGGTGGCTTTGCATCCGTGCTTATGGACAACCAGCACACATGATGAACAGCCATTTTAGTTCCAAAGTCTGAACTTGGTGCTACTCTCTATGTGCAGCTCTAACCTAGTAATAAGAGCTAGTGTGTGAAATGTTTAGCGGGTTCGTCTGGTCACAAGCAAATTAATTGACAATACCTTAACCCTAACACTCCCAAATCTTTCAGTTTTAATACGATTTTACATACACCCTAGGGGGTTAGGGTTAATAACCGATCTTAATACTTCATTGACTCACTTGAGTCATTAAAACTGTTTTCCGTAAAATTTCCAATAACTTTTCGATAGGGATTCAAAAGAAGTTTGTTTTTGGGTTTTGTTTTTTTGCTTGTTTTCCCCCTTCCATATGGTTTTCTTTTGACATTTAATATGTTACATTAATACTTAACTTGCATTTGATGTTTAGGCTGGGGTAGTGGCAGTGGTGGATATGACGCTGGCTCCAACTACGCAGGTGCAAGCTCCAATTACGGCCCCATGAAGGGAGGTTAGTACCAGTAGATGGCATTTATCCCTCATGAATGGTTTTTCAAGCTGAAGATGTGAGTTTTGTTGCGGTACAAACCCTTGGGGAATTTTTCTCTTTGAGAACTACTCCACTGCCCTGCTGACCAGTAGATTGTAGTAACTTAGAGATGCACTCTGCGTATGTTATATTTGTGTGAGAGTGCAGCATTGACGTTATGTGGAGTTAGCAAGCAGAGAGCATTACTGGGCAAACATACCTTTTTCAAAGAGCCATCTTTTTCAAGAGCCAAGAGGTGAAGAACCATCAAACCTCCTTTGGTCATAACAGTCACATGCAAAAGTTCCACTCATTTTCCCCTGCTACACTTCATACTGAGGCTTGTCATGTCTTGGTAGTTCTGTGACCTGTCAGATTAAATCAACTACACGTGACAGACGAAGCTATCTTGTCAACCATCGACTGAGCTCACCTGTATCAAATAACAGCCATGAGCCACTCAATCTTGCTTGATGTAGGCAGGGACTTCCAACTCTTAAAAACAGTTCACTTGACTGATTTTTCCCACGGTGGATGCTTGCATAAAAGGGCCAAAGGATAGCAAAACATCACAACATATTAGCCAGTTACCCATTCTCAGCTAAGCTCAGGACAACCGTGCGCTTGGCAGTTCCACATACATTGGCCCAAGAGGTTTGATTACAGCGGACCTTGGTGACTTGAACATTTTTGGGGTTATTTTTGGACAGGTTATGGTGGCAGCAGTGGCAGTTACGGCAGCGGCGGGGGTTACGGAAGCAGTGGGGGTAGCAGCTATGGTGGATACAGTGGGGGCGGCAGAGGGGGCCGTCCGTATTAGATCACATCGAATGACTCAACCTCTGCTGAGGTAAGTAGGATCTACAGAATCAAGCGTGGGGACAGGTCTCACAGAACTGCCAAGTGTTTGAAGAAGGAAGCAACCAGGCCAAGGCTTGATGCCGAGATAAAATAGACTTCGAGTGTAGCTGTTACTTGGCAAGACATTCGTTGCCAAAGATTTGAATCTAAAGCACATGTTCGTGTTTGTAATCTGAAGGAACTTTAATAAACTTGTGTTCCAAATCTTGTGAAGCTTATGATCGCTGTATTAGATCTGATGTAGTGCCGTTAATTTGGCAGCTCTGTGAACTGTGCCCCTCAAGCCGTCAATTTTTTTTCTGTCTGTTTGGGGAAGAAATGCCCATTTGCAGCCTTTGCATCAGTCTTATGTGATGGATAAACACTGATTTAGTGGTAAAAAGGTCTCTCTAGTTTTTGATTTCATTTGGCAGTTGAGGATTGCAGACGGTCCAGTAAAGAAAAAAGGTCTTGGCTAATGTCTTTCAGTCACTGCGTCCAATTACTAAAAATACTAGTCATGAGATATCTCCCTTTTTATATCTTTGACATTTTTTTTTTAAATCGCCCCGATCTAAGATTTCTTCAGCGAAAAGTGTATTACATCTTCTATCTAGAGCATGTAGCTTTGCAGCGAAGACTATTTTTCAGGGGTCACATCTGCGATAGTCACTCAAGTGTCTCCGCACTTTTCCTTCATTATTGCCAGACTTTTTTCCTCAGAAAATCAATCTGTTGAAGTCGTCTATAAGTCACTGTTCATTATTGCCAGGAATTTTTTTTTTTTGGTGTATCGAATTTCAGTGAATAAGATCCACATTCTTACCATTTATGTATATTTTTCCTTTCCTAGAGATGACTATATGGGACGGTAATGTTAGCGTTACCCAATCAATAAAGCAGTGGGACACCAACCTAGTCATCACAAAGCATACCCCACTCTCTCTCAAGAAACCCCACTGGAATAGACTGGAGAAACTTACCACTCTGAACTGAAACGAAAGCTAGCTAGATAAGGATCCACTCTGAAGAACTCGCAGACTACATTTTAAGGTCCAAGGAAAGGTTTTTTTTTTTCATCTTGGGAAGTACAATCTAAGGTTGTGTAATATGTAGACGTCTGGAGACCCTGCTGGAAAACACTTGATTTTCCAAGACTAAATTACGTAGAAAAACTCAGTGAATTTGCAAACTACATAAGGCACTATTTTCAAAGTATTTTAAGTCAGTTTACCATTGGCGATTGCCCCCCCTTTTTCTGATTCACCCCTCTGAGCCTAAACTGCACAACTTGGCATCAGGAGCAAAGACGTGAATCTCAACCGGGATTAGATTTACTGCCCACAAGAGCCTTCTTGTAGACATGCTTGAAAGCAAATTCACTGCATTTTTCCCTAAGTTGTAAATAAGAAATGGATTTCAGTCAGTTTAATTTTTAAGCAGTTCTGTAAGTAACTAAAAAATTTGAGATAATTTGAATGAGAGTTTTTTTCATCAGTGATTTTTTTTGGGTTCGCAATCATTGTTCACGTAAAGAAAGTCTTGACGATGCCATACGATCTTGATGATGTCCGAAATGTGTCAGAAAAACATATATCACTGAAAAAACCTAATGTGAAATATTTCCATCTCATCGTCCTGTCCATATGCACTCCATATTGTCATTTTTGGGGACCACCCCTTTTTAACCAAATATGTCTCTGTCAATCAAGGTAGTTCCTTTCGCTTCATAGCATCATGAATGTTCTTGTTTCTTTGGACTACTTAGAACCACTCAGTAGCAACATTCCAGTTATCATAATCAAGTATTAGTTCAGTTTGGTTCCAATAACCAGTCTGAAGGCCCTCCCGCTACAGCCTTTACTTTCTTTAAAATCATGTACATAATAGTTGTTGAATACCAATTGATGTTTCGTAAGTTGTGCATTGTGACTTGTAAGTGCGTCGCATACTTTTTTTTTTATTTTACTCTTTTTTCTTTAAAAAGAAAAGTTAAGGCTCAGAACATTTGCCTTTGAGTTGAAGTGCTTGTACAATAGTGCAGTTTTTTACTTTCCCCATAGTGTGACAAACAATGCCTATCATCGTACATGTATGTAAACTAATGGAAGTTGCTTTTCTCGGTGTGCTTGCGCTAACCTCAGACATGCAGACATTTTGGGAAACCAATATATTTAAGACTAACGGTTAAGCATGGTATGATGGCAGATAAGTAAGATCCACTATTAATGCCCTTTTTTAATTCTTAGAAGTATTCAAATGTTAGTGAGTTTTTCGTGATGTCAAATAAATGGAAGTTTTAGACCAGCCTAATTCTCAGCTCGACTATCTCAGCATTTTTCTTCATTTCAAGTTAAATTTCCTTAAGGCATTAAGTATCTTGAACTGCAGTTTGATTCTTTTTTGTTGACAGGTATTCGTTTTTCTTTTGTTCAAAATGCAGACAAGTTGATCCCACATTCCTGTGTATATCTTGTGGGTTTTTAATGAATTTCCTGAATTAAAAGGTTTTATTCACACCATCCTCAAAGTCCCACAACTGAATTGCAGTATTGAACAAGTATTATTTCGACAAAAATAATTTGAAAAGGCTTTCTTATTTCTGTTTTTTTTTTTACGTTTCACATTCTTCTTGATAGGTGTGTGCATTTTCTTTTGTAAAACCAAAAGCAGAATTTCCAATTTTCTGATTTTTCCCCTCTCCAAAATGCAAAGTTGTACCTTGTGTCTTACGTCCAAAAATCATAAATAAGTTCCGCCCTGCGGTGTGCATGAATCTTTCAATAGTAAATGTATACATGCCTTTTTCATATACACTGTTTCTGTACCACTGTGAAGAGCTAAACTCTAATACCTTAAATGCATTCTGTCCTTTTTTGTCATTGTTCTTCAACCGGCCTTCTACTTCAGACATTAATGTTTAGGATGAGAGTTCATACAAATGCATGCTTGTATCATTGAAGTGTTTTGAAGTTATAGTGTAAGATTCAGCCAGTACATTGCATAGATTAACTAACAAAGTCTTCGCTTTTACATCCAGTTATAAGTCACCTCGAATCAAAAGCCACGTGCTGTACCTATATACCTTTTCCTCTATGAAGAACTGAATCCTGTATCAATGATTGATAACTGCTGACTTGATATCAACAACTCGAAATCAACCTGAAATCATTCTCTGATTAATGAAATCAAGCGTAAGGTGGAATTCCCAACTGCTAGGTAAGATCTAAGTTATCTCCGTGTGTACACTTGTGCTTATTACTTAGCTCCCACTGAAAAAAAGTTTGTCGCTCTCTGCTTGCAAAGACTCCAAAAATTGGTCTTTTATTAAACTTAAGATGTAATTGTAATGTGATTACTTCGTCCATTTTAAGAACTTGTTACTCTCTTTAAAAACTTACTGCGTATCATTGCAGTTGACCTATTTGCTAAACGTCCAAACAGTAAAGGTGGGGGGGGCTTATTTGTGTCGGTGCGGTGTAATGCTTGACACTATTTTCTCATAACTTTCCATTTTTTTGTAGGTTTTCTGCTGTTTCTGCGGGACAGAAATCTGGTAGCATACATGTAGGCCCCTGGCCCAACAGACTTGGTAAGTTTGTAAGGAAGTGCAGTGTTGCTCGGCTGTGGGTGATTGTGCAGAAACATTGCAATGGGAAATAGCCTCATGAAAAATACATGTTTAAACTTTCATCAGCCATCTGCACAATATTTGTGTACGTGCGGAAACAGTGCATTCCCCTCGTCAATTACAAACCAAATCCACTCTAAGAAAGCATCTCTTGTAGGGCCAAGAAGAGAGAGCAATTGAACCTCGTTAATAAGAGGTCCTTGGGACTTTTACAAATTACCCTGTCATAATAGGAACCTTGTATTTTCAGGAGTGGAAAACGATGAAAACCAAAGACTTGGGCCCTAAACTTTTCTTTGTTACAACGGGAACCTTGCAGTGATGGAAATTGCTGGATTTGCATCGCTAAATGCGATACATTTTGCACAAAAAGTGAGACAAACATGAAACTGAATTTTGCAAATGGAAATTTCTGTTAAAATCATGCATAACAACGGCCATACAACCTGTCCCTGCCGGCCATAACCACCGTGCACGGGGCAAGATTGCGGCATGGATGTCGTCCCGGCGTCCACCTGTCCGCTCGGAGCCGGAGCGCTAGCGGCTCCACAGAAAAAACGAAATGTTTGACAAAACAAACTTGCCCCTAGTTGCATATCCTAGTTTTGCACAGCACGAGGCCCACGGATCGTGGAGCAAACAAGGTTTCTGTGATTTGGTAGGATTATATAGCATGTGTAGTTCAGTACAGTACGGTACAAGTGCACACATTTACATTCAATGCGTGATAAGTGGCGCCATGAACTGCACGTTGTGACATACACCCCAAGCAAGATACCAGCTTCACACGTACGTTCATGTAAGCACATGTTAACTTCTGTCATTTGTGGTAATCAGTGCGTAACAAAAATGCTGAAAGCAGCGTCCAAATATACCGTTGAAAAATGGCAGAGAGATATGCCATGGCTGAAACAAAAGAATCAGTTGGAAGACATCGTCCTTTTCTGTGAGTTAATATGGTTAAGTGGCCAAAATCAAAGCCGTTCGAAATTCTGCCGAACATTTGTTAGATCTCATTAAAGCATGGACTCTGACAGTAACTTCTGATCAGTGCAATTTGTAGTGATGTACTTGTATGCTATTTCCCTTTCCTTATTAAATATTTGACTTGTGTGCAAGTCACCAACTGTTCTAGGTCAAATGTAGAAATCTCGGGAGCTAAAATGGCCCCCCAAAAATCACGAGAAGGGACTCGCTAATAGCATTTTTTTTTTTGGTTTATTCTCTCCTTGATTGTGTAAAAATGTGTTTCTCCACATGTTTGGCCAGAGCCATAACCAACAACCATGCTATACCATACCTGTGTGTTGTTTCAGTGTTTAGCCTTGGTGTACACATCAGTCAATATTTAAACTGTATACCATGGTATAATGGTACTGAATTAGGTCCATTTATTTTTTGCCTGTCAATTTCATCATAATGCTAATCAAATGACAATATTATTAGCAACTTTGCTAATCAATTTTATTTTCTTATTTCCATCACTGCCTTGTACATGTATTAACAGTGTTCTTATTGAGGTTCGACTGTATGTTCTTATTTAGATTTTGTTCTGATTATTTCAACTTGTTGCTAATGCAAAGGCTGTGTGCAAGAGTGTTTGCCATCTCCAAATATCTGCAACCAAGTTTATGAAAACTGCAAGCAGTCTTCAACACCTTGGAAAAATTATATTTCCGTGATGTTGACCAGTTGTTCTGTTCTGAATGGACAAAGAAATACAATAAACTCCGACTAAGTCGACATCGCATAACCCCTCATATTGTCTAAGTCGGCCGTTTCACAAAAGTCCCGATCGTCTGTAAGGCATTTCCATTCAAAATTTCATTTCTATGTCAGCATTTATACGTCGTCATTTCGTATATGTCGGCATGTTTTTCTCGGTCCCTTTTGCACAAAACCACACAAATTCCTTTGTGTAAGTCGGCATTAAAAAAATTGTGCTTCGGTATCGGTTTCCTTCGCTGCGGTTGCTGAAGTGTCAAGTGACAAAACCCGTGTGCGCTTGGCCAGCATGAGTGCATCAATACCAGTAACCCCTCTAGTGCTACACACATGCGGTCGGTCCATATCGTGCATTATTTCATATGCAGCAAGGTATGAGACGGAGAGAACCCCCCTGCTTTGTGTTGGTCATTTTGTCGCAGGTTGTCGCAGGACATGTTGGGGGGTTACCCCTCGGTCTCATATCTTGCTGGGTATAGGGTAGTCAGAATCATCGGGTCTGGTATCCAGACTACATTGAACGAACTTAACCAATGCACGTGTGTGGATGAGTGTATGTTTTCTGTACCGTAAATGTATCACGTACATGTACTATGTTTGTACTGCACTATCGAGTCGCGATGTGATATGCAACTTTGGGGCACATGATCAATTATTGAATTTGCAGGATAATAATCAAGAACGAATTTGCTGGGATCGACCATGGAGGTAGAAATAAACCAGGGTAAATCAAAGCCATTGAATTAGTGCAAGGAATCATGATGTACATAGGCAATACATGTGTGTGTGTAAGTCGGCAAAATGACGACTTACAACACAAGCCGTCATTCGCGTAAGTCGTCATAATTTCTTGAGTTCCGAGAGTGCCGACTTAGCCGGAGTGTACTGTACAAGAAAACGTTGCAAATGGTTGAAAGTCTGTATGTGTTTGTGTCAGCAGCTCTAACCCTTGAGTTTCTGTCTTAAAATCACTGCTTTTCTCAGAATTATAGAATTTTGTATCGATCATTTACATCATCAAAAAATTCCCCACAAGGCCATCCTTACGACTGAATTTGTGAAAGATGGTCAGACACTATTGCCTGCTTGTTCCCATTGGCCAAGTAGAGATGCTGTGCACATTCTGATGAAGACTGTCCTGTACTGTAAACGTGAAGGCCATTCTGCATGCCCTCCTTTGATCAGATGTAATCTCCACGTCACACAAGTCGAGGATTAAGCACTTCTTGTTAAATACTGATCATCTTTGATATATGGTGTTTGAGGACTTTCCAATGTGGTGCGGTTTTTTTTGCTCGTTGGAGAGGAAAACAGTCTCGATGAGCACAGTGTTACCAGAACTTCTTAAAAACTTCTGAAACAGATGTCAGGCTTTGTACTTGCTAGCTAGAAGACTGCTAATGAGTCAAGTAAATCCAATCTGCACATGAATGGCAGACTCTTCTTCGTTGGTTCAGCCTCTGTAATGAAACACTGCTTTCATAGTGCAGTTCATTTTTGCAGAAATTTGAAAGTGCTGTTGACTGAATGAGTGAAATTTGACATTAAATTAATGATTCGATTCCGGAGTGTCAATTCAGCCACTGAAAATGTCCATGGAAAGAGAGAGTGGAAGAAGTAAAGAAAGAAATGAAAATAACTAGTTTCATGGAAAAAAAGCTGAGAATTGAACCCCTTTCACTGCTAAGGGTTGGTCAGCCTGTTGCTGAGGAGTGCATGAAGTTTGCTCCCCCCACCCCCCCAAAAAGAGCTATGCCTCCTTGGCAACACCCATGCCATTGACCAATACCAGTAGGACACAGGATTGTTTGAAGTTGAAGATTACACAGGTAACAAATCTGTGTTGATTTGGTTTTTTAGCAGGGAGGTGTTCTGTGCAGCGTTAAGATGCACTCTGCATGCTGGAACAAAATCCACAAAGTGCATATTTTTTGTTTGTGGTAAGTTTTCACCTTTTCCCCTGAAACCACAAGGTACCGAACACCTGTAGAGCTGATGATGGTGCACGTGTTATGTACATTGGGAAGCATAGAATCGTTTTTATGGCAGTGATCATTATTCTAAATGAACTTCTTGTGGAGTTGTCACAGTATACATGTATAGGCACTGTCGCTGAGTAGGAGGATGTCAACTTTTTGAAATCGCCTTTACACCTTTTTTTGCTCTAAAATTTTAAGTGACTCAACAAAAAGTTTTGTGGGAAAAATAATAAGTTGAAATATCGCAACAAAAATGCATACTCGATGTGTACATGTATACAAAATTTACAAATTTACATGGTTTATGTATTGGATTGTTACTCTGCCTCTAATATGCATCAGTGGCATTAACAGATCACCCTAGGGGTCAAAGGACGGTTGTGAAAAAGTCATTCTTAATCTTTTTTCTTTGCCCCTAAATTGTGGAATGACCTCCCATCAACCATACGATTGGCTCCTAGCCCTGAGCTATTCAAGCGTCTCCTCATAACACACCTGTTTGGTTGAACTTTTCTTCGTTTGATTGCCATCGACTTTTATCTTGTTGAATGTTTTTGTTATCTGTGCATTTGCTGGATTATGGGGGTACACATCTGAGGGGGGTACACGTGAATGGTATGTTCCCCAAAGTTGTACAGATACGTCCACATAGACAGCATCTCTACAGAGTTGGCTTTTCACTCAAGGCACTGTTTTGATTTGATGGTGGAAACTGAATGTCAATTTCGCATCAAATATGGGTTGGGGTTTTTTTTGGGGGGGGGTCCTGCGCATACTTTGAAATGGCACGAATTGAAGATATTCATGGACATGATACCCAGTCTAATCAAATTCCATCGCACCAGTTAAGTCTGAAAACAATCCTGAATCAAGGCTTACAATCGCAACTTGGATTCCTTGTGCTCTGGTCTGAGTAGACTTCAACCGATAAATGCGGACTTGGTTTACATGTGCAATTTCCTCTGGGGCCTGGATGCTACAGGACAATGCACATTTAGATAAAGCGTTGCTATCGTCTGTTATTACATTAATGATATCCTGTCATGCATCATCAGTCTTGAAGGGAGCATAGATGCGTTGTAACTCCATGGATCATTTGTTCAAATTTAATTAATTTGCTCCATTTTGGATTTCTCTACAGGTGTCGTACATCTGAAGAGCTACATTGCACTGAGCAGTTTTATTAAACATGTTCATGATGAAACTGGTTCGTGTGGATCTGACGCTATTACGTCTGAAATACAAGAGTAATTCAACATTAATGTGTCATGCAGTTTTGTTTGAAGGGTTCACAACTACGGCAGCAGTCTAACATTGAAGGATGCTTGTTATTTCCTCAAGATTTTGTAAGCAAAGCTCAGAGGAAGTGTCATTTCAGTTCGTTTAATGAAACCAGCAGGCTTTGTCCACCATACCCCTGTGCATATCCATCCAGTGAAAGAATATCCCATGTCAAATAATACAAAGATTACAACTTTGTGTATGCCTTATGCATATAGAAAAATGCACATACATGCACATGCGCACCCTGTGTGAATTCTTTCACAGGGACTTGATACAGATCCATTTCTTACATGTGATTACTTCAGCAGTATCAAAATTAATGAAAATGACTCTTAATCTGATCTCTTTTTGGTGCTCATGACAAAATATTAAATGTTCATTTAGGATCTGTGCGTATTTAAATGTTTATTGTTTAAAAGACTTTTATATCATGGAGATAATTGCATACTTCCAGAGTAAAGGTGTTGGCATAATGACATTTTATCTATGTAATTATTTTCGTACTTAATTCATACCAAAGCCTGAACCTTGTTAAATGCATTCTTGATCAAAGTTTTTACATGCAGATAGTTTCAGAAAGTGGCCTTTTTAAAACCTCATTTTACCGTAGATATTTTTTTTAGATGTCCTAACCATTACATATTGAAACGCGGAATGAGCTGAACATGCCTGCATTTTAAATCTTCCAGTACTCATTCCACTCTTAAGGTTGTGAATATGATTTTTAACTTTTACATCGGGGTTTTTTTTAATGAAATAAAATTTGCAAGGACTGTCACAAATACAATGCTCAAAGTGTTCCCAACTGTATGTTTCCTGAGGCTGTGATTAAGGGCTTGCCAATTCACGACCTTCACCAATGGCTCGAATAAATTATGTGGGAATCGAAGGCAAAACTGATGGGTCAGTTAGAACGATGACTTTATAAAAATACATGTACATGTACTCTACGTACTTTCTTGGACCATGGTTGAATCCACTCCACTTGCACCCCTGAGCACTTTCTGCATGGTATAGCCCTAAGGGTGTGAAAACATGGTGTGAAAACAGAATTTTCCAAACAGGCGTAGCCTTTTCCAACTTTACAGCTTCATTTCTCCCAATTAATATGGGGGGTGTCATAACCTGATGATTCAATTTAGTATTATAAACGGGCAGTTTGAGGGACAGAGGTATAATTGAAGATGTTAATCTAAAGGGCAGAACTTGCCAAAATTATCTGACACTGAACTGCTTTTAATTATCCTTCAGAAAAGGGATGGGTGTACTCTTTGGCGGATCCAGGAGCTTTTCAGGGAGGGGGTCATGCTGGAGAATTTTTTTTACTGTTGCATTTTCTTTTGCGGACAAGCGGAAACGGTGATGAAACAAATCGACGCACACTGTTTACAGTGGTACTTTTTTCTATTATTTTCCCCGTTTTTAAAATTACATCAGTTTTATAGACCCCCCCCCGATCAGTGCCGTGGTGTACGTGCAATAGCTTTGGAAAAAATTGCCCATTTTTATCCAAGCCTCCCTCAAGTCACACCTTCTAAGTTGCTTAACCAGGGGCTTGGCCAGGTGGGGAGGATGCATGGGGACCATGGCTCCTCCCTCCAAAAGAGCTAAACAATTTTGATAAATAACGAAAGACCATTTGGGGGGTCTATTTCATTTCCCTCCCAAAAGTGGTAAATGCCCCGGACCCCCGCCCCATCACCCAAAAAGGCCCAAACATAGAACATGGGAAGGTTTCTAAATTTATTTGGCGCCCCTCCCGAAACACGGCTCTGGATCTACCCTTGGCTAAACTGTTTTCGAATTTGTGTCTTGTATCATGGAGGAAGCTTGTATTCGACTGGTTTCCTAATTTCCTAAACACTCAAATACATGTTAAAATGTTACTGGAGTTCCCAGTAAATGTTGAATTAATTACATTATCCTTGAATTGTTACACTTTCCTCACAAGACTTCACTTTCAGTGCAGGCATTCTCACATCTAGAAAGATAATCCGGCTTTAATGCAAAACAAGTGCATTGTTCTTTAAAGAAAAAGACGATCTTTGAATGGAAAAGCGTCAGTGGCGATGACTCAGTCTATCTACAGCGCATGAGCGCACCCCGCGTGGCACTCCGAAGCACGCCACCATGCATTGTCAATGCACTGTAGAATAAAGGGTTTTTGTTAAGTCTGGGTTCCGACTTCGTTGGGACTTTGTCTCCCCCATCACCGAAACCACTCGCAGGCCAAATTTTAAACTAAATGAAAACCTAGCCACCTTTGAGCCGGTAACTTTCACTTTTATTCGTACCTCTAGCAAAAACTGTGTTTTGTTGAACTGAAATTTTGAGCGATTGGAGTTTGAACATCAGAAGCGCCACATAGTGACAAAGCCAAGATTTGGAAAACCGCACGCCAATGCACATAGCAGTTGTGCATGTACGCATGTAAAGCGCACGTGTACTTTTTTTTTTGTTCATTCCCGTATCAATCCAAGATGGCGGAAGAACAGACCACATTTGCTGCCGAAGATGGAGCACAATTTGAATGTGGACAGGTATGGTTTTAATCGCCCTTTTGTGACGTTTGAACTACATTTAAGGGGTCTATGATATACATGGGAACTTCTGATAGAGACAGAGCTCCCTATTCTGGACAGATAGGATAGAAATTTGTGGAACAAATTGCGACAGTTTTTGGCGGTTCCCTGGCGTGCAAGCTAGCAAGGCATGGCATGCGCGTGCCAAGCGAGCAAAGCCGGCGCGCGTTGCTTCAAAAATGGCGGGATATTCATTTGAAAAAACGGGGTCGAAAAATAGCTCTGGAAGGCCTTTACTTGGGTCAAGTAATCCCTGTCACACCTGTAGGTACATTTGTAAGTAAAAATACCACCAGATTTGAAAAGGAGTAGAAAAAATCGCGAAAAAAGTGCTCCTGTTTGCTGGTGGCATGGGTGGTTCCGCATTTTTATTGTTCGACAATTTTGAGGCTGCCATGGGGCCAATCTATGTCATGATTTCAGCACCCCATGCCCCAAGCACTCCAGATTTCTAGTCATTATCGTCTTAATAATCACGGTAATCAGATAATTATCATTTAGGCTAGGCCTGTTGCAGATGTGTTGAAGGGGGGGGTATTCTTAATTGACGATGTTTGGTGGGAAAGTAAGACATGAAAAATTCTCAAAATACAGTCGAACGTTGTTAATAAGAGGTCCTTCGGACGTGGCCAATTACTTTGTTGTAACAGGAACCTTGTATTATCAGGAATGAAAACAAAGGATTGGGGACCCCAAAATTTTATAAGCAGAATTTGTTGTAAGCAGAACGAGTCAACAAGGTTCAACTGTATAGGCCTAGGCCTATCTACTTTTGTTAGAAATTGAGCAATTCCATGCAGAAGTGGAAATTTGGTCACATCATTACTGACCTCATTGTCATTACTTACTGAACAGTAAGACACTTACTCCGTAGGCCTCTCTGGTTCCTCACTTTTAATGGTTTGTTACACTTTGGCTTTTTGAATGCAGCCCAGAAATAGACCATTTCGACGTTCACAATGCATTATGGGTTTGGATGGCAATCCATTTATGCACAACCCAATCGGAGAAGTGAACCCGCAAAATGTTAGTCTGCTTCCTTTTTATTACATATTCCAATTCAAGCCACCTCTTCTCACAGAGTGTTGCATTATAGTTTTGGAATGAAGATACAAACATGGCAGAACGGAAAAATCCAGGGAATCCCAAAGATTGTGAATATTAATGCCATAGTATTGTCCAATCAAAGTCATGACTTACAGCTTATTCACCCTGCGCTGTGAAGCTTTTACACACTAGTAAATGGTCAAGCTGATACCAGACGTTTGTGACACTGCACATGTGCAATGTGTGATGCGTTGTGTAAATGGCAGGATTATGGAGATTGTGCAGATCTTCTTGTGAAGAGAGGCAAGATGGTAAGAAAAAGCTCTGAATTTTTGCAAAGAAAGTGGGTTACACATTTCAAACCCATGGGGCATGCGATTTTGATATATATAATCAACTTTTTATGGCTTTTTAGGGGAAGATTTGACAGAGAGAGTGCAGTTTCAACAAGCAACGGAGGGTTATTTCTGGGCAGTATTAAAAATGCCAAAGCATAACAAACCATTAAAAGTGAAGAACCAGTAAGGCCTACGTATCGTCGCAGTATGGTACATGTATGTGGCGTATATTTCCCGTACATGTTTTCCTCTTTTTGGCGCAATCATGGTAGAAATAGTTGTTGACACTGTTGGAAGATTAAGTTGAGAATGTACCATTTCCAGATGATAATGGGGACAGTAAAATGTCTAAGGATGAATATACATGCAGAAAGGTCATGCAAAGCGCCCTCATAAGTCATTGCATTGGTTACTTTCCTACGGTCTCGGTAAAATTTTCCTGTGTTGAAAGTCCAAGTGCAGACAGTGGTCACATTTGACCATTTTTTTATTTGACCATCGGCTCGATAAAACCAATGGGGGAAAAAGTCCAGTGCAAATACGGCTGAAGTTGCCACCTTTGCATACATGTACACCAGGTTGAATTTGGGAAAGAGTATGAAACTTACCAGCTTTTGTGGATTCCATTGAAGAGTAGTTGCGATTCACTTCGTGGCACTCCTGTGGTGCACTGCTTCCCTACAAACTGAAAGCACAAGCATGCTTACAATACTTTTCCAGCTGTTACTCAGTTTATGGCCCGCAGGAATATTGCGGCCGAGACATGTACATGTGTTACATAAATGTATACATGTACATGTACAACAGATGACAAGCCAGTCCTTTGAAGTGGGGCTGCATTCAAATCCAGGTTGTAAATTCTGGGCGAATGTTGTGGTTGTAGGTTACATGGCATGTAAGTCAGTCTTGCTGGGCGAATCGTGCTGCATGTGTTATTTATGCAAACCTCTCTTGAGCTGGCACAATGCGTTGTAAAAATTCTACGGCAAAGCAACTAATAAATCGTGCTTGTGCTTTGTTTTTTTTTGCAAGATTGCTACTTTTTTGGGGGGGTGGGAATATTTTGAGGAGGTCGAGCACGAGCCAAACATTTTAGGCCTTGATGTGAACGAGGACTTGAGTTTTGCCAGGCTTGAACATGCATGTAGGTCGAGGGGATTCAGAACAAACTACAGTTGGAAAGTTTTATGTACAGACATCACTAGCTAATCTTTTCCTACAGGCAACTATATACAGTCGACTTGTCATTACGAAATTGGCTGAAACGAAATTCTGGTTACAACAAACACACATCTGTGGTTCCGGTGAAAATCTGCACATTGGTATGGGAAGAAAATCTGTTACAACAAAATTTCATAATAACGGATTTCATAATAACGAGAGTTAACTGTACATGGTATATCAACTATCACTCAGAAAGCAATGACGTGTCCTAAGGAGTCAAATTTAAATAGGGAAAATATCGAAGCATTTTACTTAGAAAACACTTAGAGTGTAGAATTGTTCAGACCAGTCTCATAGGATTTGTGCATAGGGTGTGAGGTGATGTCCATGCATGGAACGCTACAGACTACAGACTGTTATGGAACTCTACAGACTACCCATGGCCACTATTGACCCTTAGTATTCAGCACTATATTTGGAATCACCCTACCCTTACTCAAGGGGATTGCCGTAATCATCAAGTTCTGGTTTAATGTTGTGCGAGCTTTACGACATGCATAAAACATAGTAGCATCGGCATAACTTGTAAAACAGTCTTTTGTACACATTTACACACATCACTGAGCTTTGCTAGTTTTTTTGACAACAGCATCATCTTTACAAACATATAGATTCATCTGATGACATTAGAAGCCACTAATTTTGGAACACAACACTCTAAGTTTATTTTTCAACCTGTTGCACATAGTGCATGTCTCCCATCCGTCATAGTTCTTTCCAATTTAGTAGCAGGAACCAGTGTTAAAGCATTGCATGTCACATGCAGTTTTAGCATTAGGATTACTGGAGGTGAATTTCTGTTCATGATTCAACTTCCAATGAGAACAACCCGAGGGGTAAAACACGGAAGAAAAAAAAAAAACTGGGACAAAATGTACAGATTTTCATGCACAAATTATATGGTATAAATAAATATAAATAACCCTCAAGCTGTATGTTTCTGCACACACTTGATGGATTAGGGCTAGACGAGTATGAGTCTCCAAAACAGTGACAACATGATGACTCCGTCACTTGTCATGACAAATTACACGTACCTTTAACCCCATCCTGCGACAGATTCCATGAGTGGTGAAAAAGTAACACGTGTTGAATGTAGCAGTGAACACCAGTGGCAGAGTAAACCACATGTGTGGAACTTGGCGGACGCATGTGCCATATCTCCCCTCTGAGGAATTATTTCAGTACTGATCGTTTTTTGTTTGTTCATTTCCATCTCGAGCAGGAGGAGGAACCGGAAGATGAGAACCTGAGGAAGCTGTTCCTGGGCGGCCTGGACCGGTCCTCGACCAAGGACGACGTGGAGGAGCACTTCCGCTCACTGGGCCACTCGGTGGACGTCTCGGTGGCTACCGACAACAACAACAAGTCCAAGGGCTTCGGCTTCGTCACCATGAGGACAGTAGCCGAGACAGACAAAGTGCTGCATGACCACGAAGACAATCCCACACACTTCAAGGGCAGGAAGATAGAAGTCAGGCGCGCCATTCCAAAAAATGTGAGTGTCGACGTACCCCTTTGTTTTAAAAGTTGGTGCAAGGCATATTGCGAATGGAAAAAAGTATTTGTATCTGGTTTCTGATGGTGTTGTGTTTAACCCTAATTCTAAACAGCCCCCTGGAGTCAAATACAGAATTTTGCGGCTGTGCATTCTGCCCCTGCTGAGTCAGTTTAATTGCATTGGACAAGGTGAAAAGTACAGCATGATCTCCATTTCTTGCACACTGAGCCCCTAGTCTGCTGTTGTGGGACTCGTCAATTCCTTTTGCCGTTCCCCGCCTGGGCCTCCTGCTCCCTCGCTGTATTTACAGCGAATCTGCCAGAATCGTTCCGCATCAGCCAGTCTTTAAGCAGCTCAGTGGCTCAGTCTTTATCTTACAATATTAAAGGGGGGCCATTGAGGCACATGTTACGTGAAAAGCGGCTGGGCTCCACATCCCTTTGGAGTAGGAATGAAGGATAATATATTAATAAGGGAATAATATTGTGTTGGGATTAGCATAGTGACTGACATCCCAGGGGGAGATGCAACATGTGAGGTTTGTGTCGTGTGTGAAATTGTACAAAACATGTCAGTGTTTTACCAGTCGGTAAAAACTACATAATGAGCTTTAAACCAATTGGAATCGTACCTTGACCTGCGTTCATACTTTTTTCTGTTTGCTGTTGCACCTCACACAGAGCAACGTTTCCAATGACTTGGTCAAGAAAGTATTCGTCGCCGGCCTGAACAAGGGCGACATCTCCGAAGACGACCTCAAGGACTACTTCAACACCATCGCCAAGGTCAAAAGTGTGTCCATCGTTAAGGACAAGAACACCAACCAGTCCAGGGGTTACGCTTTTGTCGAGTTGGAGTACTACTACATGGTCGACAAAGCAGCGTGTAAGAGAAACCTTCCTAGTTTTTTTCTCTTACGAATAATATGCTGGATTCAAACTTGGGTCCTTGGCTGTGAAAACTAAAGCATACAAGCTCTTTTGGATATTGTCCTTCAATACGTAATTTCATGTCAAAAGTTTAAAAACTGAGTTTGCTGTCTTTTTTCAAGTTAAAGACAAATTTGGACAGCCACATATTAAAATGTTGGCTTAAAACCGATGCAAAAATATGTGGAAGTGCAAAAACTGAAGGATCTGTGTAATGTCTTCATAACCTGTCATGTGTTGCACATTTACAACCAGAGATCAGTTTTGTCTGATTGTTCAAACAACAAATACTTTCTCATTTTGCATCAAAATCCACTTTCGTGGGTATGTACCCACTGAGACTAGGCAGAGTTGAAGTTTTCTGAATAGTGATGGATTTTTGTTTGCAATGGACTTATAATATATTAACCTTAACCAAGGATGTGGTAAGGTTTAGGATCAGTTATTTTGCTTTTAATGTTATGCCCACTGGCAATGGGCCTATGCCTACTGCTACTTATGCCAGTGTCACTCACGTAATGCCTGACACTGGCAGCAGTGCCCCCTGGCTGGCGTCAGCGGCCAACTGTCAACAACGTGGTCAATAGTAAAGGGAATAGGAACAAATATGCTTAACATTTGATTAACATAACGTAAGATTCGACTGTAAAGTTGAAAAGTCGTCCCTTTTAGGTAGACACTCAGCATTTCGCCATATCATGAAGCCTTCCCGGCACTGTGAGTATTCCTTGTGTAAAAAAAAAAATGCCATTAATGTTGTCTCTTTTCTTCCCTTGTCTTGCCCCGTGCAGTAATGACGAACCACGTAATCAACAACACCAAGATAGATGTGAACAAAGCCCACGCCGATAAGAACCGTGGTGGGCGTGGCGGCTATGGGGGCGGGCGAGGCGGTGGAGGAGGTGAGGATTTAGGCTAGGCGCATGCAAGTTCCTGTCAGCTGGGCAAACAAAATTCACTTAAATTCAGGCCCTGCATGTCAAATTGTCCTTCGGTTCCTCAGGGAAATACCGTGCGTTTGCAGCCTCAAACTGTTGGCTCGTTGCTACGTCTTGTGGCACGTTATGCTTGTGTTTTAATGACCTCTTCATATGGGGGGGGGCAGAAGGTGAATTTATGTACGGAAAATGGTTCATAGCATTCTCTTGTTATGCACCATACTGTGGAGGAGACATGAAAGAGGATTTTTGTGACTCGAATGTGTTGAGGAAAGCTTTGTTGCAAATTAGTTCTAACTTTACATCGCCTTCGTGGCAATAAAAGGTAAAAACCTCAAAGTGTTTGGTCTTTATGTTAGTGAAAATTTTTGTTCATGAACTAAATTACCATGCAGGCCAAAGCAGAACAGCAGTGGCTGATCATTATGAAACTGTTTATGAGAATGAAATAACTGTAACACCTTGTCACTTTTAATGAAAAGAAGTTTTCAGATCTTGTTTGTACTGTTGTAACACATAGCGATGAGTGTGAAAACAAGTTGAGCTGAATGTCCACTGCATGTTTCGTTTGATAAGGCGGTGTGCAGGATTATGAATCATGCCACAAGATCGGAGTGCACCAAAAAGTAGATGCCGCTTAATCAGAATACACCAGTCGCCCTAACCCTCCTCAATCCTCCAAAATCCTTCGGGCAGTTTCAGAGGATTTTGGAGGATTGAGGGTGAGTGGCAAAAGTGCATGGCTGATTATGAAGGATGCCATGAGTGAAGGTCGTGGGTTAGACCTTGCGGTGGTCTTGCAGTCGTGCGTAAATTCAGCCTGATCTTCTTTTGAATCAACCCCACTGCTCAAGAATGCGGTTCGCACTGCCTCAACATAATGACAGGAACTGCCGGAGGATTTTGAAGGATTGAGGGAGGAGGCACACCTCCAAGTAACATTTTCAAGAACTTTTGGAGGATTTAGGGGGATTGAGGAAGAATCCAATTTTTTTCACCCCCAAATTGGAGGATTCTGGAGGATTGAGGAAGGTCTCTAGGAAAAAGGGCCTGGGGTTAGGGTTATTAATGTTATTTGGAAATAAAAAGGGTTTGGGATCGGTGAAACTTGTAATTTCACTGTTGAAAAAAGCTTTTCTTGGGCTGTGTTCCTGCATGTGTTACTCGCGATTGTCAGTGTGCAGGAAAATATTACTCTTCGATCACATCATGGAAATAGGAAACGTTTACCTTTTTCCCATCTTGAAATAGCCGCCTGATGCAAGAATATACCCCCAGCCTGATTGAGAGTACGCTCTGGCTTACTCCGAGGTTGGACCCCTTCCACTCAGTGGAACAAAGTGGAGAAGTTCCTTTATTGCCATACGGGACTGAGGCCGAAACTGCAGTTGACAAATAAAACTAACCCATGATTCTTCCCTTTTTGAAGGTGGTTACGGGCGTGGCAGGGGTGGCGGCTATGGCGGTGGCGGCAGTGGCTACGGAGGTGGCGGCTACAGTGGGTGGGGTTACGGTGGCGGCCGAGACTGGGGAAACGGCTACAATGACTATGATGGCTATGGAGGTAAGAGCGTCTCTAGATTGATGGCTCTGCCCTTGACACCTGATTTGATTGAGTGACGTTGTGATTTGATGTGGAACACTTGGTGTGAAAAAAATATTTAGTGGGGGAAAAAGTTTCAACTTCTGTGGTTGGGTTTTTTTGGACACCCTGCAGAATCCTGCACCAGTAGGCCACAGGTTTTAGCCAATGAAGTATCCGGGCATCTATTTGACAGGCCACATTAGACACCCAATAGGCCACATTTGATGCCCACTAGGCCTTATTAGACACCCTGTCTGCCATAGTGGATATGTTTTTCGTGAACCCTTGAAACTAAATCGGGCACCCCACTTTTCAAAATGAGGCAAATTCTTACGCTGAAATTTGAAATGCTGACAGAATTACGGATTCCAGCGCTGTGCAATCCAAAAAGATTTTTGTCAATCCTGATGTGCTAAAATGCTAAAAATAAGACCAACCTTTCTCTTCTAGGTGGATATGATAATTACTCTAGCTATGGCCCTCAGAGAGGTAAGCAACTTTCAAAATATATTCTTACTCGGACACCAATTATTTTGTTTTTTAATTACGAAAAAGAGGCCAGATACGAGAGTAGGGATAGCCTTTTGGATTTTGTGAAACGCTTCTTTGATTGCCTTGAAAGAATGTTCAGTCCACTGGTCTTTATATGTAATGACAAGGAAATCTGTTTTCTCTTACCTTGTCATTTTCCCGTCCATTCAAGATGGCTTCCATGTCTTTGCTACTGATTTGTGACGCAAACAGATATTATCGTGTGTGTTTGCATAAAAAGTGTGGTATCAGAATGGAGCTTGTGTGGTATCTGTAACATGCTCAGTTTTATGCTGGGCCTGACGTTGTGTTTCAGTTTGGACAAAACCCGTTTACTCGGCTAAAAACCAACAAACTTTTTTCCCCTTTAATACCAAGACTATTACGGTGGCCAAAGCAGGGGGAGAGGAGGACGGGGAGGTCGCTACAGGCCCTACTAGGTCACGATGCCAGCATCAAACCTCATGTCAAAGGTGAGAGGTCAAGTGAGCCTTCATGAAGGGGGCCAAGTTTAAAACTGTCTGGAAATGTGCACAGTTTGTGAGAGGGATCAGTGAATAAAACCGTCTTGGCCTTTCAAATTAAGATTTCTGACTGGTTTTTGAGCTTTAAGATAATTGATCTTGGACTCGGCCAGTGATGTATGTATACATTGCATTCTTTTCCATTTGAGTACAACTTTCATCAGTGGCTCTTCAAGGATACATCAGGCTAGTTCATACATGCACTTTGTCAGTAAATAATTGCCCCCCCCCACCGTTCAAAACAAGCATGAACAAGTGCCGTTTTTTCAATTTATCCCTTGACACCTTGGGCCAGTTAACTTGGAACAGTATTATTTGGTGGACCTGTGGTCATTGGGGCTGTGGTGATCTCTGTGATACCATTAACCTTAATCCTCCTAAATCTTTCAAAGTGCTGCAGGCGTTTTTGGAGGACTTTGAAGGAATGAGGCTGCATGGCAAAATTGCATTGCTGATAGCGAAGGATTTATTGTCTCAAGGTCTTGGGTTAGACCTTGTGTTGTTTGTTCCGCCATGCATAGATTCGTGCCCACATTGTATGTGAAATCTGTGGCCCCGTGCATGAATCTGATATGCCTCATTTTCAAACTTTTAGAGTTAGATGCGTGAATGTGTAGAGTAATATCATATCTTTATTTGCTAAAAATCTCAACAGATAGGGTGGCCTATTTTTTAAAATATAGAGGGCAGTATCATTCTGAATGGAAAATTCCAAGAAGCAAAAACTTTAACTAGATTTTTCTCAGTTTCGTGTCTGTGGCATATCAGATTCATGCATGGGGCCACAGAAATCCTCTATACAGCTTTAGGACATCAATTACACTGCCTCAACGTAGTGAGAGAAATTGCTGGAGGATTTTGGAGGATTGAGGCATTAAGCACCCCTCTACAGAATACATGCAAGAAATATTAGAGGAGGACTGAGGCTGTACATCCAATTTTTTTCATGGGGGCAGTTGAAGGATTTTGAAGGATTGAAGGTGTATCCTAGCCAAAATGGCCTAGGTGGTTAGGGTTAATTTACAAAGAAAGCTTTCCTTTTGGTGTTACTGGGTTGTTGCAGTAGGAGTTAGACACCGCAAAAAGACTTAAAGAGCCTCCTTAGCTGACATGAAAACTGCCATTTTTCTTTCAGATTGTGAAAACCTATTGCTATTTGAGTCATATTAAATATCTGGAGACATAAGCTTAGCTCTCTTGATTTAATTTGACTTGATGACTTTCCCCAATCCCCATCTTTTGCAGAAAGCACAGTGAGTATTTTCAGAAACCGATGTGCATATGCAGCGAGGTCCAGACCAATCGAGTGTCGGCGTGAGCTGTCTTCTCTCTCGACAGTTTGACAAAAAAAAAAGGATGTGAATATTCCGGTAATTAATGGTCAAAAGTAAGGACTGGTAAACTGTCCGGGACTCACAACCCATTCAATCCTGTTGACCATTTTGGAATTTTTCTCCTGAGTAGAATTTTGTATTTGTGATTCTGATAGACTTAAAGTGTGACAAATTTCCTTTTGAAGCAGCATCTCAAATAACTGTACAAGTTGATTATTGTACTGCACGGGGGGCAGTTTACCAGTCTTGTTGTGTCTTTTGTAAACTCTGACGTACCCTTGATTTTCTGTTCTCTTCTTAAGCAAGCAAAAATAAACTTGTTCAGATCTTTTTACATTTGACATCATGTACAGACTTTTTTGGAAGGGGTGGAAGATCGTTGGGATTACCCCCCTGTCCAGAAGCTTTTAGTTGTGTTAGTGTGATAGTGTGTGTAGTGTATAGTGAAGAAGAAAATTAAGGGAAATAACTAGAGCCAACTGCAGGATGATTACGGCGTGTGATGTAGAACAAGGCCTTGTCCCAATCAGCCGTCTAGTGGGTACTGCTTGGATTTTGCCGTTGGCACACTACATTGAATAGCCTCAGCTATTATTCCTGTCTCAGACGTGGTCCGGGCTGCCTCTAAACAAGACCCTGTTGTGTGCCCTGAAGACATTGCATCATTTTGTTGTAATTGTGGTGTTGAGTACACCGGCCCACTTGGAGCCATGTTTGGAACATGTTTCTGTGCCATTTTGTGTATAGTTATTCAAGTTTTTGCCCCAATTCAGATGATTGTTAGAATTTTTTTGTGGTCTGTTTTTTCTTAAAATGAAAACGTCTTCATTGACAGAAAATACACATAATAAACCCTCTACTCTTTTCAGAATAACTTTCCCTCCTACAAACTGAATGCCCCAAAATGTTGAACATTGCCTGCACTTTATATCCTCACAGTGTGAAGTCGGGTTGCAATTCTAAGTCACTGATGCTATTGGTATCATATAGACACAATACCCCTGCTTAAAGGTTGAGACGAGTTTGAGTAGATTTCTGTCGGTGACCACCCAAATGAATTGTAACTGCTAAATATTCTTGGCTGGTTGCCAGCTTGGTATTCTTTAGAGGCAAACATTGCTGTGTGTGTGTCTGAGCCAGGAATCCCTCAGGTTTCAGGTAGTAAACACTTCTTTCAACAAATAAAATCAAGACCTGCGTGAAATAACCAAACATTGTTTTAAAACTGATTAGTTTTGTCAAACTGTAAAAACAAAAATGAAGTAATTCCTTATGAGTTTAACCTCATCATAATATTACACTTTCTAAACTTATTTTTTTTTGTCCAAGCTGTACAGACTGCTAATGAATCCCATAACTTAGAGTAATCCGATTGGTTCTCAGTCCACTGTTCTGAAGTAGTAAGCCCTGTCTGCAGAGCCTCCCAATATTAAAACAGCAGAATAATCCATTTATATTTCTGGAGTTTGACATTAACTGCCACTAGTGCACATGTAATACATGCTCAGTCCTTACATGCCACAGAATTGATCCACACACTAGCAAATAAAAAGAAATTGAGTCAAATCTTGTTTTTGTTGTCAACATTTTTTGTAGCAACACGAAATTGGCCAAAAAAAGCAAAAAAATGAAAGCCAACCATGTTCCACCTCAATCTCCTGCTTTGTACATACGGGCAGAAAAATCTGACTTCTCAAAGTCGATTTTACCCAGGTCAAAATAACAGCGATCTGCAGACATTCATTGTTCTGTAGTTTTATAAATATTTTATTAACGACTGTTTTAATTGGTGAATTAGTTATTAATGATATAAAACAAGACAACATTACACGACTTAAATTGACCATTATTTTGTTTTTCTGAGGTTCATTCAGTGATTTTGTTACACTTATTGTTCGTAGGACCATTTAATAAACCAGGACAAAAAATATCCATATGTCCAGAATTGGTTTGTTGTGTTTGTTCACTTCCTAAAATTTCCTATTGATCTTGTGGATTCACGTGTACCTTAGACGCTTAGAGCCTACGTCTTAAAATGAATGGGAGTAATAGTAAGCATGACAAATACACAAGTGAGAAGGGAATTGCCAAGAAAGTGTCTGTGTCCTGTAACTTATTCATGTAATCATTTCTGGTAATGACATCAAGAATTCCTCAAAAGTGTCTTGGGCACAGTAGCTCGTATCCTGAAGCAACTTGTAAAGAGGAAACAGTGAGAACCAGTTACAGTTTTAGAGGTGGGAGGAATATTCTGTGTGAACCCCTTAGAGTCGGGTAGGGACTGAAAACCCAAGCCATATGTGGACCGAGCCTGGGCTCGAACCCGGACCGCAGAGGTGGAAGGCTAGAAAAGAACCACCACCCCAACCTAGCTCCCCACATTTTTCTACGGGCACCGTGAATGCATGGACTGAAACATGAGCCTTACATTTCATAACTTGTAGATTTGAAGTGTAGTGAATAGATGAAAGTTCAGTTTTTTTGGGGGGGGGTGGGTGGGTGCTGGGGATGATGGCCGAGTGATCTTTCTTTTAAATGGAGATATTTATGGGATCTCTTTGGAAAATCTTGATGATATCACATTTATTGGTTTTCTTTTTCCGTTTTTTTCCCCACCTTTTATCTTTGACAAAAATTGTGTCAATGAAGTCCTGAATAGAGAACAATGGAAATACGCGTACTCGTAATTTCCTACTTATATTTTCATATGCACACTCTTCACCCGGCTGGGAAAGGAACAGCATGTGCACCAAACTGACCACGCCCCTCGCCCTTATCACATGACCACAAAAATAGCCAATGACAAACAAAGCAATTTTTGCAAATATGGCTAACGTGCATTGCACACAACGCGTTCACACATCATGGATAGAGGTTGGCCATGCTTTCCATGTTAGCTGGTTGCCAAACGCCGAAAAACTCAAAATATATTGAAGTTCCGCATGCTCAATTTTACCGCCAGGTACCATTGATCCGCTGAGATTCAACATGGCCAGCCAAGTTACGAACACTAGCGAAGTGAGTTGTGACTTTCCATGAATTTCTCTCTAAATACATGGATTTGTTCCTGTACCTGTCGATCAGAACAAAATTCAGTCACAGGGGATTCGCAAAATTGATGTTGTTTTATGCACATTACAAAGAGAGTGCTAAAAAATCAGAGTCTGAATTTGCGTTGACTAAAATGGCATTGTTTGTAGTGTGCGCGCCATGTGCGCTTTTGAATGGGGGACACATGAATGACATTGATCATGTCATATCATTGTGACTTTTTGTCACGGAACGTCCATATTGTTCGGTGAAAATGTAACAGTTTGTTGAAATTTAAGCGTATGTATAGGTACTGCCATCTTTCTTGTCCTGGTTTAATATTTGTACAATTCTGATGCATTCGTTTTTGTAATTTTTTGCATGTCAATCACTGATCACAGTCGGTATGATCACCCATGTCCTGAACATGATGAATGCATCATGATGATCACGCACCTACATGACCTATTGAAATTGTTAATGTTATGCCCTACCTTATCCCAATAAATGGGGCCCAGGCTCTGGACTGGCTCCATACTGAGGGTGACACTCAGTAAAACTTGGTCACAAGGACTCGGAGGCCCAGACCATGCAGACTAAGTTTGTTTTCGAGATCCGTTCATTTTTGTCCCATTTGAAAACACCGGCTAGGAAGCTCTACCATGTCTACTGAGTGGAGCTGTTAGTACTCCTCCTTTGAATTTTGTATTGGATTATTATTATCATATTAATATTCCATGATGTTATATAGGCCTACAGGAAAAGTGAAAACGGTCACCCAAAATTCCCAGTTGTGACCCAAAGTGCCTTTACAACCACCTACAATTTGGAATACCTTTTCTTTATTCTCAACCCTAACTGCCTAGGCCCTTTTGGCTAGGGTACACCCTCATTCCTTCAAAATCTTCCAACAGCCACCATGAAAAAAATGGGATACAGACTCAGTCCTCCAAAATCCTCCTGCAGTTCCTGTAGTGTTGAGGCTGTGTGAATGGTATCCTGGAGCAGTATACAGGGATTTCACATAGGCCTATGATGTAGGCATGAATTTATGCATGGCTGAACACAAAAAACAACACAAGGTCGAACCCACAACCTTGAGACAATGCATCCTTCGCAATCAGCAGTGCAATTTCGCCATACCCCCTCAATCCTCAGATATCCTCCAAAACCGCCTGGAGGATTTTGAAGGATTGAGGATAGTAATGTTGTTCTTGTTTGTTCCTGTGATCTTTGTGTTTTATTCCTTCATTGTAAAGCACTTAGGAACTTAAATGTATTAAGCGTGTAAGAAATCCAGTTATTATTACTGGCTTCCTTACAAGTCAAATCGTTACAAATCGCAGTGGTGAAAACACGTGTGCAGTGCACGTTGCCGAAGAAGGCATGCGGGAAATGCAGCAACCAGTCTATGCGCAGTTTCTGCCCAAAAGGGTCGCGAAAGTTCCACTCCATGTACATTGTATACAAATGCAACTCGACAGTTGCAAGTCAAAAAAACACTGCCATGTCAAATTTTTCTGCAGGTACATTCACAAAAATTTACCTCATTTCTATGTTTGTGTTTTCTGTGTTCATGTATTTAAATTGAAATTCAATTCAAAATCAATGATTTTTTACATTGATTACACAAAAATCAAAACAAAAATTCCCTTCCCAATTCCGATAAAAATACGCCCAAATAAGTTCACTTGACTACTCTCACATCTCAAAAGCCCAACTAATCGCCAAATACCGAATTAGTCATATTGCTGCAAAAAGATTTTGTGTACTCACCAATGAGACTGTTTGTTTTCGTGACTTACATTTTGCTAGACACCAATCGCAATGTTCCTTCATAACATATGCTTCTTCAGGGACCATCTCACCCTCAGGCGGCCGCGCCACAGTGGGTGAATGAACTCGGACTATCGATCAATTGCAGCAGCTAGTATTGAAAATCATAAAACAGATAAAAAATTAAATTAAAAATGTCTCTCTGTGGCACAATTTGTGTTTGAAAGACTACTTACATAGATGGGGGCTCCAGTTGATGAGTCTTCACATTCTTGCAGGTTACACACAGGCCTACAATGTGCATGCCGTTTAGCTTCATCGTTGTCCATGGCGAATAAAGCCTTTTAAAAATCCCTGGACCGATGCTATCACTTGTACTTGCTTTTTTTTAATTCCACATGCACACATTATTTCATATGACAGTGAATTTTATTATTCTAAACACATCACAATATATTAGATTAATTATAACCGAGAGATCATTTTGATATAACATCAACCACGCATTCACATGTATGCACATGCTTATGCATGTACACATACATGTACAGTGTACTGAAACCAATGCACTGCGTTCCGCCTATAACAAATTTCGGATACAACGAACGTTTCTACGTGGTCCCGCGGATTTCATAATAACGAGAGTTGACTGTACATTTCTACCTCAATTTACAGTACAGTAAACTCCGACTAAGTCGGCATTGCGTAACTTGTCTTATCATCTAAATTGGCCTTTTTACAAAAGTCCCGATCATCTATAATACATTTCCATTGACAATTTCATTTCTAAGTCGGCATTCATAAGTCGTCATTTTATATAAGTTGACATGTTTTTCTCGGTCCCTTTTCCAACAAACCACAAAAATTACTTTGTGTATGTCGGCATTAGACAAAAATCGTGCTTCAGTATCAGTTTCCTTCACTGCCGTTGCCAAGAAGTGTCAAGTGACAATTCTCACACTGCTTGACTGATGTCTGTTTATTTGCAGCACAGGCCGTAGTTGATAATCGGCCAGCATGAGTACATCAATAACAGTAACCCCTCTAGTGCTACACGCATGCGCTCTGTCCATTTTGGGGGTTGCCTTATTGAACGCAGTCTGGTTCCCTGCGCAAAGATTCCCTGACGACCCTTGATAATGATTCGTCGGGTAGTCAGAATCATCGGGCCTGGTATCCAGACTACATTGAACGAACTTAACCAATGCGCATGTGTGGATGAGTGTATGTTTTCTGTACCGTAACTGTATCACGTACATACGTACTGCACTGTCGAGTAGTGATGCGATATGCAAGTGGCTTGCCGTCCTTGCTTCGTCTTTAGGGGCACATGATCAATTATCGAATTTGCAGCCTGTGAGGATAATAATCAAGAACGAATTTGCTGGGATCGACCATGGAGGTAGAAATAAAGCAGGGTAAATCAAAGCCATTGAATTAGTGCAAGGAATCATAATGTACACAGGCAATACATGAGTATGTTCATCAATGGGCAAAATGACGACTTACAGCGTAAGTGCGTAAGTCGTCATAATTTCTTGAGTCCCGAGAGTGCTTACTTAGCCAGAGTTTACTGTATTACTAAAGCCCTAGCTTGGAGTTAGAAAAATGCAGGGCTCTATGGCGCATACGTCAGTAGTTTGGAAAACGCAGCTCTGTGGACCATGACATAGGGAGTTTCACCAGATCCATTACTTCCTCTCTTCCCCCCCCTCCCCTGGACTTGAATTTCAACTTTTTTGTTGCTTCAAGAAATGGGACATGCTAAGGGAGGGGGGGCACCACGGCAACAAAAACAAAATTTCTTCAAGGAAAGGCAGTGAGGCCACGGTGTAAGCGCAGACTTACCTACCAAAACCCCCAAAGTTGACCAACCTATCGCGCCACAGAATAATCGGTTACCCATGTGTAGTTGAGACTGCTGCGTGCATGCATACGCGATGGGAAACTAGGGGGACAAAATACCTGGACGTAGCTATGGAGGCCCCTTTACGGACGCGGCCTAAGCCCACATACGCCTGTGCCAGCCAGGTTGCTGCGTATCGTGCTGGGCTAGGCTTGCTGGTACATGTACGTACATGCAGCGAATAATCGTCCACCGAACGTTGGACTGCAGAACGAAATACACGTACATTAATGTATTGTAAATCAGAGCCATTTCACAGCACAAGCCTCATCGTGTGGTACGGCACTGTGGCGCGGCACACCGGGTCTGCCATCTTGGCTGCCTTGGCCGTGCACCCATGAAGACAGTCGTTAACCGGTAGACCACAACACAAAATACATTCATGCGAATGTGAAGTCGGAAACTTAAGGGAAATATAGGGTATTTTTGAGGGGCACCACTGCCAGGAAGAATGGGGCCCACGGCTAGCTTTGGCCATGGACTACGTGGACATTTTCAGGGCACCGCGGCCAATTGTAAGGGCATGGACTGCCATGGCTGCAGTGACCACGGTGAAATTCAAGCGCTGCCCCCCGATCCACAAAAATCCATCAGATGTTTTGGATGATTTAACAGGAGTTTCCAAGCCACTATTTTCAGTGGTGTTTCAAGACATTCCTGGATGCTTCAAGCGCCACTGGTTTCTTACACAGCATACATGTAGGAATTGAGAGTGCTTTGATGGGGGTTTCTGTCCAAAACATGCTGAAAGGGCTGGGACTAATTCAATTGGATAAAGCCAACTCTCACAAGGAGCCAGGTTAGAAAAGTACGGGGAGCCTAGATTTTGGCACTTTCCTTGCATGTCACGTCTGCATCCCAAATTTGATTCCCAACCAGGCCGACTCTGATCTACATGTATACATTTTCAGTCCCAGCCTGACTCCATAGGTTTCACCTAAAGCACTCTTGGGATTGTGCGTCCACTTCTGAAACTGTCATTTGTTTCCCACTGTATCCTCTGTACAGGTTTCTTCAGGCTTGTATGCTACAGTGCCTAAAGAACTTTTTGAGGAGTTCGGGGTGTCATGAGTAGCATTAGTTACCAGTAAATGTTTTTCTCTTCAGGAGCCGGAGAATCTCAGAAAGATCTTTCTTGGGGGTCTGAACCGCTCTACCACCAAGGATGACCTCAAGACGCATTTTGAGCAGTTCGGCGAAGTGACGGACTCCATCGTCATCCTCAACACCGAGAAGCAGTCCAAAGGCTTTGGCTTTGTCACCATGGCGACCATTGAGGAGACTGACAAGTCGTTAAGGGAGAACAACTGCGGGAGCCATGACATTTGCAAGAAGAAGGTGGAGGTGAAGAGGGCCATTCCGCGTGATGTAAGTCCCAGAGGGCAACCTTGGGGTGATTTCTGAAACCCAATGACTATGTCACATGTTATGTAGATAAATCCAGCGGCGCTTCACTAGACATTCCAAGGGAGCTGCTTTAAATCCTCCGATTCAATATGATTTTACATACACCCTTGGGGGTTAGGGTTAAGCAAAGCAAGTAGTGAGAATTCACTAATAATTAACCCAGAACACACAACGTACGGCATTTCCATTGCACAAAAATTCTAAATGCTCACTACATCCAACTGTGGTTATGTAACTTATTAGATTTAGCATTGTGTTTGCCAATCTCCAATAGCCACGCCCTTACATTCCATATTAGGCCAATGATGCATAAATGGTCATGCAAAACGAATTTTGATAGGATGCTGATTGCAGTCGGATGCTCGATCGAAGGCTACTCCACAGGGAAATTGACTTTGCCAGACGGGCCAGTGCAGTGCTCCAGCGCGCGACAATATTTGGTTTGCGACGGTGGCCTAACTTGCCTTTTGTTGATCATGTTTGATCGAAGTCGTAGTGTGAATACGTTGTAATGGAATTTTGCTAGATCTCAAAATGCCATTATCCGTTCGAAAAAGACTAATGGAAAATCGCCCCTTTGGCCACGTGGGTGCCGTCCTGGGAAAGAATGCTGACTGGATACCAAGGTTCTTCTGCGAATACATCAAAAGCCATAGTTTGGTAGATGAATCTGTTTTGTGAAATATAACCAAAATGCACTTCGCTCGAACTCTAATTTGATTTTGTATCCTGTAAAGGAGGTAACTCCCATTTTCAGCCTGCTGTTTTTTCTGTTTTCACATATCCTACTATCGATTTGTTGAGTCAGGCCTTGTCCAAACAACCGCTTTCGGTCAGCAAACCACAGAAACTGTCAAACCTCCGACAGTAACTTTCTATGGAATTTTAACTCCTATACAAACTTTGGGAAAACAGTTTCACAATGTTCACATTGAAGTTACTCATGGATTGGGATGGAGACGAGATTCATTGCTTGTATTAACATATTTTATACACGGAAGTACTATATACGGCACATTCGTAGCGAGCTCTCAACATGCATTTCACATGTACGTACATGTGTGTACATGTCCGAACCTGAACAGATCCGAAGTCCGAACCAAACCAAAACCAAACCTTGGCACCTACTTGCAGCTACACTTGGGCGGTTCCACTGTTTACGGAACCGGTTCCGGTTCTGCATAAATACCTGGTTCTGAGTCGTACCCAGTTCCGGGTAATTCAAAGAATAACATAATTAAGGTCAAAGGTTTTTCTATGTCTGCCATTATTGTGCCCTTGCAAAATCATTGAATTTGCGAAGTTAATGTGTTTGTCTATGTCTGTTTGCATGAACGTCTTGAAACTTGTCTGACTTATGGAAGACTAAGAGCTCATGTCTGACTTTAGGGGTTAAAATTTGCGCCGGCTCTCAGTCATCGGACTTAAGCGGCTGACACAGAGCCATGAAGTACACTGTGTTCACGTTCAGTACGTGTTCTGTCATGACTGTACATGTGCGTGCTGTACGTTGTGCACCGTACACCTACATGTATCATGTACATGTATCGATAGCGGTCTTGCCTGCTGGTGCCATCATGCAGCCAGCGCAGCCACATAGCCCGGCCTATCGACCACCAAAAACAAAGCACGCGGCTTGCCACTCTAGACTTGTCTCGACACGTTATATCTCTTCATATTTGGCTGTGGTCCAGATCCGCATGCCGCAGCCCCATGTGGAAGCTGCAAACCCCAATCGGAGAAATATGGAAGGGCTGTATAGCACAAGACAACAATATAATTGACAAGAATAAAATATCAAATCAGTGCTCCGATAAACCCCAAGTGGAGCGTCGTTTTCCTTCTACATGTAAGAGACTTGTAATAAAGTCTAGTCTAGTCAAATAGGCAACGTGCGCATTCGATCTGCGGCCCACAAGCTGCGAGGGTATTCACCGCTGTTCGATTTCACCAAGTAAACACGCCCCCATCTTCCATATAAGGCAAGCCAATGAAGCAGTGAATCCCTGGATGGAGTACATGTGGTATCGTCATTGGCTGATTATTTTAGTCCCCTTGATTGACGTGGCACACCTTGTTTACAACTATCCATGTTGGGGCCACCGAAACTAACAAGCTCAAGGCGGTGAGATCGGGGCTGCCGATTGGCACTTGACAAGGCAATTATCGGTATTATTCGGGAAGAAATCTTGAAACATCGTAGGGGTGTTTTCTTTCAACCACAAAAACACTGGCGCAGCATGCAGACTTCAGCGTGTAGGATCCAGCCAGACGGATTGGTGTGTCCGTGTTAATCCATGTTACAGGACCACTTCCTGGCGCTCCTCATCCTGGGTTTAGTCTTCTTACATCCAAAGTGCAGGGCCACTGCCAGGCGCGCCTTAACCAAATAAACAATGCTTGTCTTTCACATCTCGTCGGAGGACGGCCTTCAGAGGTTTCCTCACTTGAATTTGGTACTGGAACCGAGCCTTTAGTGAGGCTTCGGTTTCAACACTGTACTGCGGGTACCCCGTAGGGAATAAGTAACCACTCGGAACCGACTCCTCTATGGGTAGCCGGTTCTGAAAAATATTGATACCTGGTGCCAGTTCCCGATGTTGGAACTAGGTAGAACCGGGTACCCGCCGGAACCGCCCAAGCATACTTCCAGCACCTGTGTAACCACGGTGTAACTGTTCATTTTTCACACCAAATGAGAAAACCAGTTTTTAGTCATGCTCAAATAAAAAAATATGAGATTTATGTTCGCCAAAACTGAATGCAGAGTTCGTTCCTTTCTTCAATTTAAAATTGGCACTCACATTGGCATGGATGGTCAAATTATGCCAACCAATATTTTGGCGACGTTGATCTGTAATCTGTGCTTGTTTTTTCCCCCTCATAGTCAAACATCTCAGCTGAGGCCACCAACCAAATCTTTGTGGGCAACTTGGGTACAAACATCACAGAGGAGCACTTGCGGGAATACTTCAGCCAGTTCTCACCGGTCAAGTCGACCAAGGTCATCAAGGAGAAGGGCGGGGACAAGAGCAGGGGGTTTGGCTTTGTTGAGTTCGAGGAGCCCTTCGGCCACCATGCTGTCGATAAGTTAGCAAGTAGGTTTGGACACTGGCAGAGTAAATATATTGAGATAGCAAAGGCGTAGTGCGCAAATACCCCTCCTTGGTTTGATTGCAAAAAATGAGGTTTAAACATGTTCAAGGCACTCTCTGCAAAGCAAGGTACACATGTGTGCATATTTGGAAGGTTATTTTTTAACTCTACACAGATTGGGATACGTTCATTTTTATGTTTAGTGTTTTATGGTGTTAATAAAACGCCAATGAGATTACGGATTGTTGGCAGTAGCGTGAAGTTGGCCATGTTGTCATGCCAGCTTTCGTCCCAAAACTGTCATGCAGTTAGCCCCCCGGAGCTGCACACTGTACCCGCTCTTACCCTGGGATTGGATTGTTTGCATATACAACAATTTGGGATACATTATGTAAATGAGGAATACTCTGGTGCCTGACCATGCTTTCAGTCAGCAGTCATTTTTGTATGCAAGGTCTGGTGATAACTCCAAAGTCAGTTTGTGGTGTGTTGTACTGAGGAGCAGGACATTTCAAAGATTAAAAGTGAAAATCGGTCCAATATGCAGTATCAAATTCTTTATAAATGTAATCAAAATGGAGAAGAGGGGATTGTTGAGAAGGGGAAGTGGATGTAATCACGATAAACTAAATGTCTAAATTTTAAACACCAAATACATAAGAGAAATCATTTCCTCACTGCATCGAATCAGACACAAGAAAAAGTTCGGTCTCCAGGGGTTAGTATTGAAAGCCCAGCTGGAAATGAAGTAACCTCTGGGGATGAGGTAAGATAGGGATTTTCACAGTTCAGCTTCTTTATGCCCTTTTTCAGCTGGTTTCATCTATTTTTGTCATTGGTCAATCTCATCCCTGGTTATCCCATATGATTCCAGGGAGGTGCATGTAACTTGTACATGTTCCCTGGCGATGCCGTGCAGCTGACCCCCTTTTTATGCCAGTTACGAGTTACCACATACAAGATTACTGGAAGATAATAGGGCTGTTCCAAATATCCAAATATTTGATCCATTATCGCGTATTCAAATATGATTTTCCGAATTTGAATAGTCAAATGCAAAATTCACAAATGAGAAAAATTGCACTGTGGAGGGTTGTTTTAAGCAGAATCAAATGAAAATTGACAAATCTTGTGATGATTCAAAAAGAAAATTATTCAGAAAAGATTTAAATGGAATACAAATTTTCAACAGACAAATTGACAGACAAGACAAGCTGAATTAGCCCCGGGAGATAACTCATGCCTTGGCAGTTGCACATGTTTTTTCACATATTACAGTGCATTGTATTAATTTTTTCCTTCTGGGGTGAGATGACATTTCAACCTCCACAAATTTCTGGTGTAATTTTAACAGTAATCACAATTATTTCTGAGAAATTGAATGCAGTGGTGACAAAATATAGTTGTCCTATCTGCCCAGGATTCCAGTAGATTTTCACTACACCGCAGAACCTATTTATTTACAATAAGTGTGGAAAAGAATCAAAGAAGTGGAAAGTGTAAATTTTATGACAAAGGATAGTCATGAAGATATTAAGGTTTTATTGCCTCACTTTGTATCTAATTTTCACAATTTTGTCGAATTTCCCTCAGAACATTGGTGATACTGTAGGAAAGACTGATGCATTGTTTGTGACTATCAACTCATTTCTTCATGATCGAGAGCTATGTGTTTGAAATGTACATTTTTCAAGCAGATTCAAATTTCTGCACTGAGTCCGACAATGGTCAAAAATGATACATGTATGTCTGGATTTGGGGTAAGGCATACACTTACACGCACGTGTACCTGGATACGAGTGAATTTGGGTACGAGTTGACTTTCACTGCATTGCACTCCATGTACATGTAAAATGACGTCAAATCGCCAGACTTAAAGGCACAAACTAGAATGTCCGGTTCCCATGCATATGATTTCCTTCTTGCATGATACTTTCTTATTAGAGCGACATTCCTCGCCATTCACAAGTCGAGAAATGTCGGGGAAAACCCAGCAACAACGAAAATCTCCCCTCTAAGATGTCGGCTTCACTTCCAACTTTTGACCTTGTTACTTCTGAGGTACATGATAAGGATGGGTAAAAATTTCGCAGAAAATGGATTTTTATCGTGTGCTACTTAGCCAAAGGGACTTTGAGCGTTTACATTCTTATCAGTATGGAAATGATGGGGGAAACAACTATATCTTCCTGTGATATTAATCAATTTTTTTGTCAACCCGCCTGAGTCAAAAGCTATTTTGTTGGCTTCTGGCTTTTGTTCGATTTGGTGCACATGCACACAATCTAAGTGAGCGGCTCAAACATACATGCAGGGCAAAAAGCAGTTATGTTCACTTGTCGGACCGAACATTTCAATGGGCGTCCTGGCAAAGACCAGGGGCATCAAGGCAATTGCCTCTGATGCCTCTGTGGCATTCCCGCCCTGCAACTGTTGCTCTTAGCCAGTCTTGTGGACATCAAACTGAGCCCTTTGCCACAAGCTGGTCTCAATCTCGGCCTCCCACACAAAATGAAATCTGTACCACTTCCCAAGGATGTGAAGTCTGTCCCGGCAGTCAACCCCCAGATACAATTCAGCCTATCATGGTGCGTACTGGGTATGTTATTGGACTCTTAAGGGTGCATTCGTGCGAGCTACACGAATCGTGTTGACACGACTATACTCCTGAGCGCTCGAATGGCTGGAGTACGACCCGTGGGTCAGTGAGAGTATACTCTTGCTAGAGGGGGAGTATACTCCTGCACCCGAGTGTAATGCGCATGCATCCTACTCGTGTTAACAGGAGTAACCGTGTTAACCCACCCTAAATTACACACCAGATCGGAAGTAATGGTGGAATGGGTTTCAGATGTGACAGATCAAACAGTTTAAGACTGAAATGTCTGTTTCGTTTGTTTTTGGATTGCAGTAATGGAGAAGCACACAATCGAAGGCCGGCAGGTTTACTGTAACAAAGCAGAAGACAGAAGTAACAAAGAAGACAACTACTATGGCAGACATCAAGCAATGAGAGGAAGTAAGTTAGGTACCCTTGATATATTTGGGCCGGTACCGATATATCGGTTTTTTTTATTAATATTATAGATATATAAAATGTTATTTATTCTTTTTAATTTTTAAGGTATTATAACAGGTGTGAATTGCTGGCCCCTTTAATTACTCGGCTTTACCCTCTGTAGTCTTTCCAAAATCCTTTGAAACCTTTAAGATGAGTTAGGAGGATCTCAAATGATTAGTGTTGATAAGTAACGGCTGTGGAGCCATTTCTTGGACAGTGTGGATGTTCGAGACCAGGAAGGTCTGGTGCTGTGTACAGTTTTAAGTGACTAGGCTCTACTGGCTTCATTCCTACAAAATCCTTCAAAAACTCAAAAGAGGATTTGCTAGGATTGGGGATAGTCTGGCTAAAGAGAAATGCAAAGGCTCACAACTGGATTTTTTTGGGGGGGTTTGGGTATCTTTGCAGATCCCTTTGGCCGGAATCCAGGCAGAAGTGGAATGCCGGGCTACTATGATGGATATGGAGGTGAGTCCTGCAGGGCACCAGGAGGGTGTGTGAGTGACCATGGGAATTCCCTGGTACCCAATATCATCTCACGGCCTTGCTGTTTAATTGGCCTTCCGTAATTAATTGGGCCAAATCAATCACTGTGACTGATCATAGCAGTGGTGAAATCCATTAAAAAAATCACAAGTCAGTGTGAAGTAGATTTATTTATTGATTGGTTAACAGCGGGTTAACAGTAATGGCACAGTTAATTTGAGCAGCCTGTGACTTGACTTGAGTTGGTTGACTTATTCACCTGTTGCATTGATTGTGCTTGTACTCATGCCAGACTAGCTGCTGGGGTAAATTTGGATGCGTCCAGTATTGCCCAAATGGGCTGGCTGTTGGATCGTTATTTCATTCAAAGTGTTACATTCCATACAAATTCCTCAGCACGGTCATCCTCATTTAATTTGCATTCGTAAGAAACATATATGTTGAAAATCCCTGCAGTCCAGCGTAAGAAAGAAACCCCTAATGCACGTTTAAACCACGCGGACGTGAAACATCTGCCTTTACTTCAGCAACCTGACAGCAGAGTTTGTCTTTGCAGGTGGAAATTACGGCTGTTATGGCGGGGCAAGGGGCGGCTACGGGGGTGGAGGCTACGGGGGTGACCCCTATGGGGGCGGCAACTATGG